TCAACTTGCTGGTGCTCAGTAGGGAATGCGGGAATGAACACAGTGATGCCCTTGAAGGAACCTACAAGGGATGGCTTATAAGGGTCATTCCTTCATTCCCTGCTGAGCACAAGCAAGTCCAGTAGGGAAGCCCGAAACATGGTTAGCACAGCTTCCTTTCGGGCCGCCGCCGAGATTCCATCTCCTGGAGAGGGTCCAGCGCTCGCCAACCCTTCGTGTAGCCCTTGCCTCGGGAGAGAAACTGAACGAACAAATAAGAAGGAAGGGGCGCAAAAAAGAGAGGGAGAGAAAGAGAGAGAGAGAGAGAGAGACAGAGACAGAGACAGAGAGTAGGGAGGGTGGGAGGGAGAGCGAGAGGGAGAGAGACAGAGAGAAGGTGGGAGGGAGGGAGGGTGGGAGGAAGGGAGGTAGGGAGGGAGAGGGAGCGAGGAAGAGGCAGGGAGAGAGGGAGGGAGAGAGGGAGGGAGAGAGGGAGGGCACTCTTTTTGAAAATCAGGCCAGTGTTTGCAACTCAAGGGTGGCCTGGAATCGTTTGCAATCGCTTGAGAACTGTTGTGGTAGAACAAGGCGGGATGTTTGGGGCAATCACCCCTTGCTGGTTGAAAATACAGGGGTCGGGTGCCTAAAAGGCAACTGGAGAACAAGTCTCATGAAAATGTGTGGCGCTTCGCGGGAGTTTCTTGCAAAAAGGAGCTGCGACCCAACCAATCAAAGGGGCATTTCCCCTTTACACCTTTCAAGGTGCCCCTATGTTTACATCAGTGTATATATATATATATAATATGTATGCTATAAATTGTAGGCTCGAGGTGCTTTCGTTTGGCCCAAACTCAGACTTGTGTGTTTCATGATTCTAGCAAAAGGTCCTCAAATTCACACGCGACCGAGGCCCTCATCACTTTGCTGGTGCTGGGCGTGTTGGGCAGCGTGTGCGCCCTCATCTTGGCCAGGGCAGCTCAGTGAAAAACAGGAACCGAACTACCCAGACGTCCAGTGGGTGTGCCGTTTTTCCTTCAGCATATACTATCAAGGCCATCGTTTTTAGACGCGCCCAAATGGCATGCCGTAGACATAGGTGTCCCTTGAACCGATCAGTTTGAAATTCGATGATCTCACCAGCCCAGTTTTGGCTCTAGTCATTTCCCGTTATTTTCATGAGAGCTGGGGTCATTAGCCCGCGAGTTCGGGTCGAACCTTGGCTGCATTTCGTTGAATTCTGATTGAAAGAAAGCCGCAAGAAGACCACCCCCCGTGCGGAAGGGGGGGGGGGGGCGGCAAGCCCAGGAAATGGTGTCCAATGAGGACGGTCCACCGGCCAGACTTGAAGATTTTGGGAGTGCTGTGTTCTCTTTCGGAATTCTTCGAGGTTTTTTTTGGTGGAACGTGTCCCACATGTTTGGGTCAGCCTGACTTTGGTTTCGTTTTAGGCTCCTCCAGTTTCTTGGCTGGTGTGGCTTTGGTGTTTTTTTAGCTTCTTGGCTTCTTGGCTTCCTGGATTTGCTTAAAGCGTTCGAAACTCCGCCCAATTTCGGTTTGGATTTGCACTGATTTGCACCTCTGTTCCGAAAGGGGAGACCATCCCCGAAGCTCCAAACAATCCAAAACTACCAAAATAGCCTGATCAAGCCGTTCCAAATTGCCCTAAGCCCCGGTTAACCTGTTTCGCTCCTGAATCCTACTGGGTGCCCCTTTGGTTCCACCCAAATTGCCTTTCAACTTTTTGGATTATGGCTATTTCCCGGCTAGCTGTTGCAAGCAAAAACCTAGCTGTTGCAAGATGGCTGCGGGTCAGAAAAATATATATCAAAATGGCACCTTGGCAGATGGAAGCAAAGACTAAAAACCGCGCAACCCAGTTTTTTTCAAATGAATCACACTCAGATGTTCAAGCCAAACCCGGAGATGCGTGCTTTCTTTGGCTGGAGGGGTGGCGGGCTCCCTCGATTTCCCCTTTTTTGGACTGAAAGTGGCAATTGAGTGGGAAATCCAGTGACCCCTGGTGGTCCTGGTTTTCCTTGACACATCCGATTTGCAAGATGGTGCGACTGAGGATGACAACTTCGAGCAGGGCCTGGAATCTGTTGGGCTCTCATTGCTCCAAACTGGGCCAGGGGTTCAAGAGGTAGACAATGCCACCGAGTACTGCTTATGGTTGGAAGCCATAGGAAGAAACAGAACGGGGAGCGCTTTGGTCCCCAAATAGGAAACCCCCAACCCAAAAGGCCGCTTGTTGACCATGTTGCGACCCTGGTTCCTCAAAGCCGTTCGCAAAATCACCGTTTTTCTCTCCAGACATGGCTTGCACGTCACTCCGAAAGACGGGCAGGTACCTGCCTGGTTGTTTGTTTGCTTGCGTGCTTGCTTGGTTGCTGGTTTGTAAGCTTGTGTGTTTGTTTGTTTGTTTGTTTGTTTGTTTGTTTGTTTGTTTGTTTATTTGTTTGCTTGTTTGTTAGGTTTTGCTTTGTTTGGGTTTGTTTGTTTTTGTTTCGTTTTGTTTTGATTCGTTGGTTTTTGTTTGTTTGGTTGTTTGTTTGTGATTGTGTTTGTGCTTGTGCTTGTGCTTGTGTTTTTGTTGCTTGATTGTTTGTTTCTTTGCTTGCTTGCTTGCTTGCTTGCTTGCTTGCTTGCTTGTTTGTTTGTTTGTTTGTTTGGTTGGTTGTTTGTTTGTTTGTTGAATCTGGGCAAGGCCCTTCAAGCTAAGAAACCACGCAATGACAGGGTGGATTTGAGCAGTCCTCGTCACGCCGAACGAAAAGTTTTTTTCATGGTGTTCTGCGTTCTTGCTTGCTCTTAGCAGTCATCCTTGCAGCGCAGTGATGAACCCAGTTGCCCCATGGCACTTGGCTCTTTTTGCAGTGGGACATAAACCAAGAAAACGAGGGTAACCCGATTTTCTCGCCTGAACTCCATCCGTCGCTCGGATCCCAAGGCATGCTTCTGGAAAGCATCCAAGTAAGGCGGTGTGGGCGGTTGAGGCACGGTCTTAGCGTTTGAACCAGGGAAGGTTCCAACAGGTGAACTTGGTGGCTCTCAGCCATCCGGTTCCTTAGCTTTTTGGCCTTTTAGCTTTGAGTGGTTTCCGAATTTAACCCACTAAAAGTTCGTCAAACCTTTAGCGGGGGATCCGAAAACGGGCAGCCCAGTGAACCTTACTTCCAGCTTCTGTGGGTTTCTTCTGACCATGGCCGGGAGAAACTGCCGCCGCCCGCCGGGCTCCATGATAAAACCCCGAAGCACACAACCCGAGCAAACGCGCTGTCGGGCGCTGGCCTGCAGCCGAGTCGTGCAAGGGGGATGCTTGGTTGCTCCTTTGGCCTCTAAACAGGATCAAGCCACAGGAGTGCTTCTCAAAATCGGGGCTCCCCTGCTGAAAGGGTCCCGTCCCTTTTGAGATGGTTCTGGGGTCCCTTGCCTCCCTGAGAACTGATAGTCGTGGGGTGAAAAGGGCCCACTTGGATCCTTAGGTACCAAGGGACACCCTCTTTCGGGTCCAAAATGAGATCGGTTTGCCTTCACCGACCTCTCGGGTCAAATGGGAGCAGCCCTGCGCGCGTGGGTAAGCGTGGATTCGCTCGGCGTTTCGCTGCTCGAAGCGGCTTCCGGAAAAGGTCGCTGGCGTACGGGGTACTGTAGTACTGTGGATGGACGAAATCCTGCACCATTTTAGAAGCCCTGGAATGATGCTTCCCCTCTAAATACCAACAAACAATGGTTTCCCAGAGTTTCCAGGATTGCGTCCATCCACAGTATGGCCAAAAAGCTGGGCCCCTCAAGAGCCTCACAGGTTGGAACTGAGAGTCACTCTGCTCAAATGGGGTTCGAGGGTGCCCTGGGGAATCCAGGGCGGCTTGGGGTTCCCCTTTTAGAGACCCCAAATATTGCAAGTGAACCAATCAAATGCAACCGTACAACCCGGCCAAGAACGTATTATTCAATCTCACGATTTGTTTGAATCCCTGTGGTTGTTCATCATCAATCACCAAATCCATCGATTTTGATTCCAGCGAAGCACTTGGTCGAGCGGAAGGACATTCAATGAGTTGCCACTCGTTGTCATCACATCATTGAGCGAACCATGCCGGGCTTCAGACTTCCACTTGCTCTATATTTAGTTGAGCAGCGCACCCCTAAATGGGCCATTCTGCCAGGTTACCACCCGGCTTTGTCGGGATCATAGTTGCGCATGATGTCACCCTTTTATAGCCATCGGTCCATTTTGGTAGAACCAAGAGTCAATGGGCGCTGCTCAGTTGGCATCCGTATCGTGGGCTTAAGGGACAGGGAATGGACACGCTTGGGTGCCCCTTTGATGTTCCTTGAACAGTGTAGCCGGGTAGCCGGGCGGAGCCTCAAAGATTTGCATCCATTGAAACGACCTTCGAAATCCCAAACCCGCGCCTTCCAAGTCTGGTGGGTCACACCAAGCACATGTTCCAAGCATATTTTGGTGCAGCACAGCAAAATTGTTGTGCACAGCAAGCCTACCGATCCGCCAAAATGGGATCCATGAAGTGCCCTGGATTCCTTGATTCCAGTTGAGCATTGCAGTTGTTCCGGGCCACAATCAAAACGCGCACGAAGGACAGTAAGGAACAGTCCCAGTCAGATCCAAGTGCAGATTAGAGGCTTCCCTCGATCTCCGTTCTTACCGGGGCCAGGTATGGGGGAAACTGTGCAGCTGCCAAGCAACGACATTCATCCTGGCCATGCTTGCTGCGTTGTCAGCTGAGCGAAAGGGCACTGCAGACGCATTCTGGGCACAGCCAGGCGCTGACCACTGCTGGCCATGCATTAATTGTTTTTGGGTAGCCCTCGGCCCTTCGCCTGACTTCGTGCCCTTGTCATGGGATCAGAAGGTTTGTACTCAGTTGTTCAGTGGCACCAATTTGTTTTTCGTTTTTTGTTTGGTGGTCACTAAAAATGGTCCAAGCCCCAAAAAGGGTTCCCTTGTTTCCAGGGTCACTGAACGAGTGTAGGACAAAGGTCGGCGGAAAAATCTGTGGCTCAGCTGGGAGAGGGAAGACCACCCCTTGGGCCCCAACTCACGCCCGGGCCCCGGCGGGCAGCGGGCCGCGGGGTCAGTGGAGGGCGGGCATCTTAACATCCCGTTTTCCCAGTTTTGGTGTTGGGCTCAACATGTTCCGCAAAACATGGAATTAGCAAAATAGCTCGCAACCCTTGGTGGTCTTGGCAAGGCTCTTGCAAAATGGATTCGTCAAAAACGAGGTTCCATTTTGTGGGTTGGTTGAAAATCAAAACAACTGCAGGGTTGGCCAAACATGTGTTTAAGCAACCAACCCCTGGCCGTTTTTCTTTTCGGGAAACCAGGTTGTCTAAACAACAGTTGTTTGCACACGTGTTGGCCATTGGCCCAACCCTCAAAGTGAGGCATGCTCTCCCCAGGTTGCCAGGGATTCGTCTTAACCTGCCCTGCGGGTTTCGTTCTTAGTTGAGATACCCCTCAGGGACCAAAGGATAAGTGGAATATGGGGGGGTGGTCTGAGCCTCTTAAAGATGACCAAGGAACAAGGGTGGTGGTTTGGCCAGGTTTTCTTCCGTTGCGTTTTGTTCAACCCTTGCGCTCCTGCTAGCTTTGGAGCAACCATGAATGTCGTAGAGCCCGCTGCTCGGATGCAAGCGGAGCGATGTTCCAAGCATGTCATGCGACAATTCGACTCTACAGATCCGAAACGAGGATGTGCTCAGTGACACGGGCCCTTCCGCCCTTTGTGTCTAGTGTCCAAGTTTTGGACTACACACTTGTGCGGACATTTGCGTGGGTCTTCAACAGCAAACATGTGGCTTTTGTTCGGCCAAACCACCCAGTGGATTTGAGTTGATTTCCTCATCCCTTTCCCCCCACTTCCCTCCATGTCCTTTTTTGCGACCCACTGGCAAACCGGTCACTGGCCGAATCTTGGCAGTGCAGGGTGGGGATAGCCACTGGTCACTGGTCAGTCAGTAAATCTCTGAGGCGAACAACTTTATTTGGAGCTATGAGGACCGCCTTTCGCGCCGACCGATCGATGCGGCATAGACGGTTTTGTCATGGATGCGTCTCCGGGTCTGGTCAGGGTTTGTAACATGAGCAGCCAGACCAAGGAGACCAGTGGATTACGCATGTGGTCTGACACCTGTGTGGTGTCTCAAAGTAATTAGGTTGCAGTCAGCCCCCCACCCTGCCGGTTTTCCTTGAGGTTTCAACTCAACCCCCTCTTAGGAGGTACACACTCCAAACGAAGCAGATCACAAGATGGCAGCAGATGGCAGAAGTCGCGCGATCGTAAAGAGCATGGACTTCGAAGGCCTGAAAAAGGGGGGTTATCCTAAGCTTGTGTAGGGAGAGACCCTCCCGCGTCCTCCCACCCTTTTTGGTCCATGACTGTGGCCGCCGGGCCGTCTTGTGGCTGTGGCAGGTCTTCGAGGGAATCTCAAGACCTGCGTTTTAGAGGAAACGCCCTGGGAACGGACCTGTGGTTTGGGTTCCGTGGTCCGTTTTTTGGATGAACTTAGGAAGCCAAAAGGAAACCACCAGGAGGGGTACCCCAATTTTGAGAAAAACGCCCCCGTGTTCTGATGGAAATGATCGTCGGCGAGAATCAATCTTATCCCCACCCCACCCCGCCCGCCCCAAACGCCCCAAACGCCCCCGACTCCAGTTCAGGCCATCATTGCCGATTCTTCACAGGCAATGTGAACAAGTCAAGGGTTCACTTTTTGTAGGAAGACTTTGTACAGAAGGAAGCCTAACAGCGCTTTGTCAGATCTGGCGACTGTGGCGTGCCGTTTGGCAGGATCTCGGCTAGCGAATTCTTCTCACTTTGTTTGGCTGGGAGCTTGGAGTCAGAGCCTGGCACAGGCTCGGACCCATGGCGGAAAGGGGCGATTTGCCAAATCCGTGACGAACAAAATATGACCTGTCATCCACGGCCTTATGGCTTAGTTGGGCAGCCGGAAAGAAGGCGTATAAGCCTATCAGCAAGAAGCAACACAGGTTTTGGGGATGTGATTGGGGTGGTAGTGTGTTTGGGGAGGGTGGTGTGTTTGAGGGGGTCCTCGGAAGAAGTTCAATGAATGACTTGGAATGGAATTCAGCCAACACATTTTCGTGAGGTTCTGGCAGCCGCAGCGCAAACCTGTGCGCCAGAGCAGCGTCTTGGCAGCTGAGATTCTTTCTTTTTGTTCTTGACTCGACCACCTTGGAGTGGCGGAATGTGTGTTTCCCACAACACCTGCTTCAGCTTCCATATTTTCAGGTTGGCTGGATATGACACAGAATCTGAAAATGTGTTGTTGCTTTTTTGGGGGGGGTAATTACCAGGGGTTGGGCCAAGCTTTGGCGTGCCCGTCACAGTTGATTTTGGGTTGCCTTCAAATGATAGAAGAAAGGCTAGTCAGTTACTACTAGGTTGCTCCTGTAATCATGACTCAGTGTGCTTTGACAATACCCCAAAGCCACCTTCTAATTTGAATATGGCTCAAAATTAAAGAGCCGGGGTTACGCGGGTTTAGTCTTCTGCTCCATTTACCAAGGTGCCATTGTGGAATTCCACTTTTGCGAGCCACAGCCATTTGTTTCGACCCTGTGCCAATATGGCATGACTTGACAGAGGATCAGGTTCCGTTGCGTTGCCACGTTTTGCGGGAGGGAGGCCTATCTTCTTCTCTCGCCGTTTTTTTGTTTTTTGTATTTTTTTGGGACCCCCTACTTCCCCAGAATTAGTTCCCCTTTTTGTTTTTTGATTTTTTGGGGTCCCCATTGTTTCTCCACTAACCAGGCAAAAAATAGTTTTTTTGGTGCGGTCCTAGTTCCAGCCAAGCCTATACTTTGCGCTGTGGTGTGACCTTCAACTCTTGAACCTTTTGGTCGACGATTCATGCACTGAACTCATGGCCGGCTGGGTGTTCGCTGCTCACCAGACCTATACGGAAAATCGACCAACACCACGGGAGTTGGCAGCCCCAACGCTGGAACAGGGGACCCGTAAAATTGAACATTTTCGGCTCAAGGGGATGTGTTTTATCGGGGGAGCGGATTAGGATGGAGTTGTGGGCTGCTTTAACACCAAACGGAGACAGGAGCAACTTGTTAGTACTTCTTTTTGTTTACTGGAATTGTGGGCTACATAGTTTCAACCAAAGGAGTCATGATGACAGGAGCAACCTGTCAGTACTTGCCGAGCCCCTCATATTACCCTTTAAAGCGCGACAGTGCATCCTCCCACACACCGCACTTTAGGGAAAGGCTATGCAGCCAGCCTACCTATGATAGGGCCTAAACAACAAATCACAGGCCGCTAACAAAGGCCTCCCAAAAAAATAACATATGTTTTCGGTATCCCAGCGCCCCAATGCGAGCTTAGACTAGGCCAATGTTAAACCAAGTCTAAACCAGCGAACCCTCCCACCTCATTAGGGGACCTTTGTCCTCAGTCATTGTAGTTGAGTCAAAATGGAATGGCCTCGGACGCTGGTCGTTGGTGGCCTCAGCCGCATGTGCCACGTGTGTTTGTTTGCGCTTTTGAAGAGGAGAGTGGACTCTCAGTCAAAGAAAAACCAAGAGGCCGGCCAGTTTTGCGGATCCCTTTTTGAGGCATAGCTAAAGACTAATTTGTTTACTTCACAGAGGGACACCACACAAAACAAACAAACATTCATTTTGAGGCAAGTCCGTAGTTGCCCTTTGTTGAGGCAACTTGGTCAACCTTCTTTTTTTGAGACAAAACCTACATGCACATGCGTGTCATGGGCAACCTGTTTAGAGAAATACGAGAAATCGGCTTAGAGGGTATACAATTGGCTTCTCTTCAGGGGCCACAGTTCTACCCTGTTTGAAGGTTTGAGTAGGCTGAACATCCAAGGGCCCAGGAAGAATCTACGTGAGTTAAAACTGTAACAGTGGGATAACGGGTTTGCTCTTATAACACACTTACGTAGCCAAACCTATTTACTTGGGTTGAACATCCAAGGTTTTGCCCACTTATATAGTTCCAATTCACTTGCTACATATATTCATACTGTTGATGGACGAAATCCTGCACCCAGTTTACAGGCGAGTGGCTTGCCCCACTACGAGGGGTTCATCTATTTCAGTTGGTGTAGGTTTTCGTTCATGTACAGCGGGGGACTCACTAAATGTCCCGCAACATGCAAGTAGTCTAACTCACTTGCCCAAAACAAATCGACCTGTTGAACTTTCAGTTTCCCCTTGTTGGCCCCAAAAGGTGATAAGTTTTGGACACTTGGCTAAACCCTGCCTTAAAACACGATTTTCGTGTTGGTTTCACGTTTGGGCTGAGGATTTCCCTGTGGCTGGTTGATCCTGCAGGGGTCATTATTTTTGTGGTTTCTGCGGGGTATCAAAGTCAGAACATGGTCCCTGACCTTGAGGGGTTTTCCACGTGTCCCCATTTGCACATTTTTGGCCAAACAACCTGCCTCAAAACACCGAAACATGTGTTGGTCTCGCGTTTGGGCTGAGGAATTGATCCTGCAGGGGTCATTATTTTTGTGGTTTCTGCGGGGTATCAAGATCAGAACATGGCGGTTGCTTCCCTTTACCTAGCATTTGGGGGCGTGACCTCGGGGGGGTCTTTTTGCCACCTTTTGTGAGAAAATTGGCGGCCCCCTCAAAAAGGAATCCTTCACTACAAGGGGGTCGATCATTTTTCCGCCAAAGGTGGCAAGAAAAAACAACCCTTTGGGTGACCTTGGTCAGGGGTGACCGGTCCCAGGAAGACTTTGGTCCTGCTGCAGACCGCCACGGCCAATGGCCGCTCTCAGTCCTGGACGGAGCGCCCTTGGCCTCAGAAAACGAGCGCGGAGGAGCGGAGCGTCGGGTCCCGGCGCCAAAAATCACGCGGAACGTGGGACTCCCCAAAAAGGGATCCATGGTTCGAGGAAGCTGCTTTGGGACGTTGCCAAAAAATTGTGTTTCTCTTGAGGAATCCCCGTTAAACCCCCATTCATTGTTTTTTTTTTGGGGGGGAAAGTAGATGATTCCCCGGCACGCCTGAGAGTATGGAGCGTGACATATCCCGGGCGTTTATCGTGGGGATCAACGAACCGTGAAGTTGAGTAGGTATTCACTATCTGGTTTCATGGAGAATCATGTTGCACACTACGTGTTGTCAGCGCTGCTCAAGTGGGCATTTCTCTCAAGATCGATTGATCTAGAGCTTTTTGAAAGGCGGCCAGAAGGTAGTGATTTGAACTAGGATAAAGATTCGAGGGGATAGGGGGGTGGGGGGTGAGAGGGGTTGAGATAGATTCCATGAAGGCCTTGAAACGGTTCTTGGGCTCGCTGAAGACTTTCCGAGGCTGATTCTTAGTACGCTGCTAGACCTAGCGTATCTTTGTATTTGCTTGCCTTGGTGGATTCTCTAACCAGCAAAAGCTCACTCTTTTCAGGAAGTCCAAGTCGAAGAATATTCATATTAAACTTTTCTAGAACACCTCTCAAACCAATCCACTCCAACAAACACTAAATTTTGCTTGATTTCATTGGTGTCCCTTCGGTTTCCCTTCGGTTTCCCTTCGGTTTCCCTTCGGTTTCCCTTTGGTTTCCCGTTGGTTTCCCTTGGGTTTCCTCCATTTGGTTTCCCTTTCTCCCTCCAGCAAGGGTGCCCAAGAAACCGTTTCTCCAGAAAGCTCACCAAACACCCGGAGGAAACAGCTGGTGCTGAGAAAGAACGATGGTTGAACATTTGGGGGACCTCTCCTGGGAACTCGAGCCGTGAGGTTTGCGCACGACGAGCGACCATTCAGCGGGGACCTCACGCGGTTTGGACATCGGCGTTTGCCAAATGGGTCGACGGCCTTCGGAAAATAAATCAGTAGCAAGGTCCTCGTACTTCCTTCGGGGCAGCAACCTTGTAAAGGCTACAGACATGGCACGTCTCGTTTTCGAGCCTCCCCTGTTTGGGCGGTTTGTTTGGCAAGCCAAAAGGAAACCATCCACTTGTGAGCATGGTTTCGTGCGTGTTTTTGGCGAGGTGAAAAGTCACACCACGGGCAAGTTCCACAAGTTTATTTGCCCTCCACACTCTGCTATGGAACCTCGGGCGGGTTCTGGAGGACTAGAGTCCTCGAGGGACCCTTTAGTGAGTCTAAAGGGGCCTGGGGCTATCCCTGGATAAGCCAAGGACAAGCCTCTAAGGCCTGAAGAGAGAGTTGAATGGGACTTATGGCACATATTTGTGTTCTGTCTTTTTATTGAGGGTCACCCTAAACCTCCCTATTAGAATTCATTCCCGGTATGTGTCTGCATGTGTGTCAAACTAGGGGACTCCTTTGGTGTCACCCTAACGCTAAACCCTGCGGCTCTGTTTTCGAGAGTCACCCCTGTGGCTTCAAGGGGAAGCCAACCGGAAAGCTTTCCGGGTGGAAGCCCTGCGCTCTCAGATGAGCCGTGCTATGGGGCCGCCAGCCGCAGCTTCGCCCGGCGCCCGAGTGAGTGGGCGACCGAGGAACGACCATGGAGAAAAAGGCGCTGGGAGGTATATAGGTTTATGAAACCATATGAACCATATGAACCATATGTGGTTCATATGAACCATATGAAGCATATGAAGCATATGAAGCATATGAACCAAGCATATGAAGCATATGAACCATGAGTTGGCAGTTGAGTTGGCAGTTGAGTTGGCAGTTGAGTTGGCATGGTTGCCTGGTCGTTGGCATGGTTCATATGCTTTACCCCAACGTGGCAGTTGAGTCGGCATCCCTCAAAGCTTTATCTCAGAATCAAGGGCGAGGATGTTTTACGCGCAGTAAGGGGAGGTCAGGTAATGTGCTTGGATTGCTGGGAGTTTCACCCTCTTTGGGGGGAAGCAGGACGAAGCTGTGATTCGGGGAACATCTGGTTTGTTTATGTGCCATGTTGCGCTGCTGAAGCCTTTGGATTTCTTGCCGGGGATTTTTTGAGTGCAACCTCTTAACAAATCTTGATTCTGAACCCTTCCTAACAAACTTCCTTTGTTATGGACGGGCTCCCTGAGGTACCCTTCCTCCCAGTAGCATGGCACCTGCCGGGGGGTACCTGGAAGATCAGTTCCCTCTAGGGACCAGGTCCCGGTCAGGTGCCATGTTCATGGGAGAGAGGGTGCCCCTTCTTTCCCATGACCATTAGGAGACCCACTCCAAACGAACTCGCGACGGATGTGCAAATGTGCACCCGATGGGTTCCGAGCCCACAAACTCCTGGGTTTGTGCAGAGTGTTTCTTTGAAACGGGGCAAAAAAAAGGAACGAAGCTTGAGGGGGTCCGTCCCTTTGTTAGGCAGCCTTGCGGTTTTCCTTTCGGTTTACCATTCAAAACAAGGTCGACACCGTGAGGTTCTCCAAGGAATGAGCGTCAACAAACCACTCGCCAAGTCCCCATGTGTGTGTTGGACCTCTTATTTACAGTATTTTCAGCACATGAGACTCGAGACCACATACCGCCTGAGTGACGGACTTAAGCCGCGGAAGTCCGAGTCAAGCATGAACGAAAGAGCCCGGATGAGTTTGATCCCTGCAGTTTGATCCCAAAACGACAAACAAGGGGTACCCTTAAAGGGTTCAGTGCCAATTTGTTGAATGAAGCGAAACATGTCTCCAGCACACCTTCCTGCAGCTTAACCTCAAACTTCCTTGACGCCCTCCAGGCTCCTTTTGGCCAACGTTTGGCTAACAGCACTGTTCATGATATTTTGCCACCAGCTTTAATATTTTAGGGTACAAGGTCGCATGCTGGAGTTTTGGCCAATTTGCCAACAGCATAGGGCCAACAGAAGGTCTAATTCGTGTTTTCCCCGGCTTCCAGTTGCATCGTGTTTTTCGCCAGATCGCCTGTTTGGCACAAGACCCAGACCAAGACTCGCCCAAAACCCACCTCGGAAGTGCTCGCAACACCTCCGCGGGTCGCAGGTCTGCCTTGGCCCTGGCGCAGTTGCTTCAGGCGGGCCATGGGGAAGCGATTCCTAGCTTACGGGCTTTTTTAAGGCCCACCTTACAAGAGTTCCATGTGTTGGTAGAAACAAAAGTCAATTGGCTTTGGGCGCAGCTCATATGGGTGTGTGGGTGTGTGCTTGTTTGACGGACCCTTTTCTTTTTTTACTTTGGTGCATTTTGCTTGGATGTAGGACTTTAACTTTTTGCCAACTAATGTGTTTTCCATTAAACCACTAAAAGTTAAGCTTTTAGCAGGGAGCAGAAAGCAACCCTGTTTAGGTTGGCATAGAATTGAACATGAAAGTCGCCTTGGTCCGCCTGCCTAAATCTGACATCCCTGCTGTCAAAACACCCGCAGTTTTAGACCAGATTTCGGATTCCTAGTCCAGAGAGCTTTCACTATGGGCTGGGAGACGAGTTTTAAGATCCAAAATCCAGGCAGTCAGCCGTGCAGCTGTGCAGACCCTCAAAATCTGGGGTTCACTTATGGAGTTTCTCCTTTGGGAAAGAATTTTGCTGGCAAAGCTCACACAAAGGCGAGCGAAACATGAAACCCACCAAGTATTTTGCTCTAGGGGTCACTGCGGAAGGGGAGAGTATGGTAGGCCGCATATTGATCCTTGACTACCATCGCATACACCTCCGCCAGTGTCTGGTCTTGTTACTTTTAATTAGGGTGTTACATGTATAACAAAAAATATAATTGGACCCCCTGAATTGGTTGGCTTCCTTCTGGTTTGCCTCCAAAACCCAGCAAAAACCGGGGTGAGACAGAATGTCGCCACTCTGAGGATCGCGAGGGCGCGTGTGAGTTCGTGACCGTCGCATGCCGTGCCAGGAGAGAGCCCAGCTACAGCAGATGTCTAAAGCACGGCTCTCAGTCCACTCCTGCGGCTTGGGATGTGTGTCTCCGGCCGGGCCTCGGGTGGGTTGGTGCAGGTGTCCACTAGGAAGATGGCGCTCAATCAACTAAGAAAAACCATCAACAGCAAAACCACGACACACAAGCGACTAACGCACACACAATATGGAAAGGACATGGGAATCGTCTAGGAGGTATGACCAAAGGCCGAAGGATCTGGTTTCCATAGCAAACACACAAAAGTTGACCGGCCACGTGCGGCGGTTAGATGATAATCTGGGGAGGGGGGGGATTGACCGATGGTCGATTGATTCGGTGCAAAAGCAGACCCTTCACAGACCCCCAGCCCCCCCCCCCCCCACCCCGAAAGCGCAGTGTGCATCCATAGTGGCCCCCTGTTTATTCACGTCTCATAGTTTCCTTTGGTCGTCCATTCAACAAAGCAACGCAATCATGTACCCTGTGCCGAGGGGCAGTGTATGATGTCCAAAAGGAGCTTCCCAAAAAGAATGCTTTTGAGGATCCACGTGGTTGCCTGGGTTCCACACTTGTTCAACCAACCAAAACAGGTGCCCTGATTTCTTTCCCATGGTCGCCAGGGTTCGTTATTTGTGTTTATCCAAAGGTTCTGTCTGCAACATTGTGCAACCATGTAATTGAATGGGAGAGAGCCGCTGAAATGTTTCGAATTTGCCCTTGACTTGCGCGATGAAAAAAAGAAAGAAGAAAACAAGCGCTGCAAACTGGCTCCTTTTCAGCTGGCCGGCTGACCCTGGTTGTTCAAGCCAGCCGGCTGACCCGCCGCCCAAACTCTACTTTTGGCTACTTTTCCGTTGTCCTTGTTCCCCTTCTCTTGATGCGGACTCTCAAAAACCCTGCGTTTTGTTTGAGCTTTTTCCTTCCACGCCAGCGTTCATTCCATGCTTTTGCGTGCAAACTCCCGTTTTGTATTGGCCATTCATGAGCCCGAAACGCATGTTTCGGTGCGTTTTTCCGCGTAATTCGTGCAGGAATTTGCAAATGTACTGACTGCTATTTGTGGCAGATTATACCAATGTTTATGCGTCGCAATGGCCGTCCACGGGATGCATGGCTGCCCGTGTCGTACATGCTGGCACATATGTTGACGTGCCCTGCATGGTTTCTTGTGTAAATGCTCGTCCACGCGCTGCATGGTTACATGCGCACATGCTGTCACATAGGTTAACGTGCCCGTCCACGCGCTGCATGGTTACTTGCGTACATGCTGGCACATATGTTAACGTGCTCGTCCACGCGCTGCAGGCTTACATGCGCACATGCTGGCACATATGTTCACGTTCTACATACAAGAGCTCACGGCGGACTTCTCACGCCCGACTTGTCTCATGTTGGCGGGGTCTCAGTGCAGACAGAATTTCTTGGAGCATGTTGCGTTGATGGCTTGCTCTGGATACTTGTATATCAGCTACGCTTGTCGCTTGCTCGCTGGTGCATGCTCGTGACTTGGAAACGGCGGTTTTCTTTCACACGCTCACCGATTTACGTTGGCAGAGTTTTAGTTTTGGCATGCACTTTTACCCAGAAGCCCATAAAATAAGACAACTCAGAATACACTGTAAAACGCAGGGAATGTTCAACATGTCAATTGCATATTCGCAAGGGCGGCAAGACAGCCGGCTACCTTGGTCAACCAACTATTAAAGGCGCCCTGATTCTTTCCCAAGGTTCTTTCTGCAACATTGTGCAACCATGTCTTGGAAGCGCTGAAATGGTCCGAATTTGGCCTTGGCTTGCTGCAAACTGGCTGAGGCGCTGGGCTTGTCCTCGCTGGGCAATACAGCCATAGTGCCTGGGCCTCGGCGACGCATGGAACCCTCCTGTCCACAGTGTCTCCAAATGGGGGACTCTTTTGTGGGATGGCTTTAAAGGGAAACCCAGAGGAAACCAACTACCTGGGGCCCCCTAATTTTGAGAAACACTTCAAACATGGAACCTGACGATTCGGGGTCCTGGAAGACTATTCTCCTTTCAAATGGAATGTTTGGTGTGTTCCATTTCTGTAGACGGGATGTTAGATATTTTGCAAGTGAACAACCCCCACTCGACCACAAAGCATGATGGATTTGTTTTGTGTGTGTGTGTTTTGGGGGTTTCCGAAGGTTCCCCCAACTTGCAATGGGACATCCACTGTACACATGCCCCACGGAACCTCAGGGAAGGTTTCCTAAAGCGGTCTTTTGCGAAGTTCCATATGAGTGGATAGGCGAGTCTATGTCCTTTGCTTAAAATAGGAGTTCGGAGCCCACGGAGATTCGAATCTTTGTAGATGCGATTTGGATGGAACACAAGCTGAATTAGTTTCGCACCTGTTCGTAGCCGGATTTGAAGTGATGCCTTGCCGACCCAAGGTCAGTCGTCGCTGCAGTGCACAGCTCTCAGCAGCAGATTCATATGCCTTGGTGCCACTTGGTGATATTCTCACTGGGTAGAGTCTGCATTATGCAATGCCATTGGTTTCAAGTGTATGTCAGAGCAAGTGCAAGGTGTTCGTTCATGGCTACCAAACAAGCAATGGCACCATCAGAATCCTTCACTTCTGTCAGAGTTTCTTGTGTTTTTTCAGTACCTGGGCCCTGGGCCCTTTTCATGAGTTTCCCTGTGCGTGATTCCCTGTGGATGTTAGGCTGGAAATTTCATTTGGGGGTTTCTGAAAATGACGGACCGTCTTTTGGTTCATCGAAGGGAAAAAGGAAAGCAACCATCCAAATGGGGAGGCCTATGTCGAGAAAGCCCCATTTCTTTTTTTTTGCGGGACCAGTCAAATTGACTGGCCATGCAAATCCAGGGCTGATTTAGCAAGCCAAGGGGTTTATACCAAGGCTTCATTCAGCGTTTTCTGAAGGTACCCTCGCTTCCTTTTTTTTCTTGGGGGGGGGGGGGGTAAAACAGTAATTAGACGGAGAATCACCCATTTGAGGGGTTCCCAATGCTCAAGACATGAACTAAGTACTGAAAGTTTTCGACTAGGTATTGGCAATTTCATGTCAACTGCTGGAAATCTAAGATTAAGCATTACTTGTAAATTAAGTACTGGAGATCTAATATCAACTGTTGCCAATACAAATTTGATATTGCCGATACTACATTAAATACTGGGAACCTAAGATTAAGTATTGGCAATACAAAATTTAGTGTTGCCAATACTTAATATAAGTAAGTACTGGAATCTGATATTAAAGCAGTGGCATTTCAATTGAGTATTGCCAATACTAAATTAAGCATTGGCAAGCCGTCCAACCCAAACCCCAACATTTTCTGCTGAACAGTGTCATGCCTGTTTGCATTATTCGGAGGGGGGGGTGTCATAGAAATTAAGCAGGGTCAACGTGCTTCAGCTCACTTGGGGGTAAAACGAACTCACCCATGATGACGGCCCCTTACGTATTCTAGTACCCAGACAAATTCCAGTGATTCATTTTTGGACTTCAACTTTTGGGGAAATTGTGGAATGTCGATTGGACCCACAAACAGTGCAAACTTTTTGCAGAGGGGTCAACAGCAACCGAGTCTAGTATTGTGACCCCGTATCCAGTTTATGAATTGGGGGGTGAGGGCCCCTCATTTCACCCAAGAAAATCCTAAACTGGGGTTGATTAAAATGGGGAGACTGGGGTGAAACCCGAAACCTATTATTTGACTTTGGTAAAATACTGCAGTCCAATGTTGCAACATGAGCATTGTGTCGTGTCTAGCAATTCTAGGTCCCCCCAGTAGTGCCCTTTTGCCCTTTTTTGGGCAAGGGTTCCCCTACAGAAAATAAGCTCAGGTGATATCCCCAACAGCAGGCGGTGCTCTTTTAGTGCACCACCCCGCAGCTCTCGCAGAACCTCGTGGAATCGTGGAACCCTCGTGAAACCCTCGTGGAACCCTGGTGGAACCCTGGTGGAACCCTCGTGGAACCTTACCTCAGGGCCGCCCCGGACCACCCCGGAGCCTATCTGGGCTGAGACCCCAAAGCTTTCAGCTGTTGGGGAAAAAGGAGTACCCTTATTCTAAGCTCTCTTCTGGAGGACCTAGAATTATTCTGCGGCCTTTGCCCTTTCCAACGGCAACCCGTGGTTCAGGTCAGCGCTTTTGCTGGCCATCTGCGTTGTTGCCAGCTACTCAGATGGATTCCACTTCCCATGTGCTGCTAGCAAAACATCTGGGGGACCCCTAAAAAATGGGTTTCCCTTTGGTTCCCCTGTGCACAACCAAAAAGCGGTTCCAAGAACAAGACATGTTCACCAAGGGGTTCATACACGGCGTATACATCGAGCTGTTGATTTCCGGATGGTTTTGCAATAGCCTGAGTGGGTCAAGGGAAGCCGTGTGTGATGAAAATGCCCACGACATCCGGGGTTTGCCTTGGGGTCTTCTTTTAACGCAACCTCACGGGTACCAACTTTTGAAAAGCCATGGGGGTTGATCGAAAGGTCCAATTAACACGGAATGACCATTGGTTGGAACAGCACTAAGATGATTTGTCCCACATGGGAGAAGTTAGCCATGGTCATTTGGGAGCCATATTGCCTTCCACTGGATCCCGGAAATGAGGTTGGTGCGAGTGCTCTTGCTTTCCAGATGTGATCCAGGGGAGTGACACTGAGTTTTTATGCAGGGAAACATGAGTCACATGCGAGGGGTGTTTGATCACCTACCAGCCCAAGCCCGACTACAGCGAGACAGAGCCCAGCTCTCAGAAAGTGGCGAGAATCAGAGGAGAGAAGGTAAATCAATCCTTAACTTGCTGGTTCTCGGCGGGGAATCAGGGAATGACCCCCATATTCCCTTGCTGTTTCCTGTAAGGGAATCCCCTTCCGGTTTATGCCCAACTCGGTCATTCTCTACCTATCGCTCCAGCAAGTTCATCCTTATGCCAGATGGTAGCGGTGTTTCCCTTGTATTGGTGTGCTCTAAGGGGTACGGATTAGGATTGGGGAGGGGCTCTTGAACAAGCCAGATGAAGGACTGACATCATGGCCCTTGCTCCAAGCACCCTAATGGCCTCCCCCTAGCAATAAATGCACCCAATTAAAACAGATACTGTTTCCCAGACCGCCGGGTCCGTACTACTTTCAGAACAGGCCAATTTTAAAACAAGTACTAAACTGACAGATTTCTCGCCCAACAAAAACAAGGCCCCTCTTTCCCTTTAAAGCGTGTACTACAACATACTACAACCAAATAACAAAGTAACACACTTCACTGTCTGCTTGTCTTTCTTTCTTTGCACTAATCTGTCCTGGCCGAAACCAAAAAGAAGCAAAGAGTGTGTCCCCTTCAAAGTTTGTACTACAACCCATTTACAAAGTGACACTCTGAGCCCGTTTCATTTGCTTTTCGAGGGGATCCCATCTAAGTACCCTTTGATCACAGATCCCTTGCCCCCCAGCCAATATTTATGAATGGGGGGCGGGGGCGTACTTATTATTAGGGGGAATGGCCGTTGGGTTTGCCCTACGAAGCTGCTTTTGTCCAGTGCCAATGGCTATTTGGTCCAGGGGAATTTGGTTTCCCGTGGTTTACTCTCTATAGATAAGAAGAGTCTGTAGTTTGTGTTTAACATGTTGTTTCCCCGTCCTGAAGTACGGAAGCTGTTTGTCTTATTGGTTCATGTGGACTGGTTTTTGCGGTTGCGCCGAAAAATGCCTTTCGTCTCAGGAATGAAGCATTGAGGACATCCTTGGAGGCACACAACTCCTTCATGCGAACAAGGCGCCTTAGCCGCAGCGCCTTTTTCACACCGGTGGGTGCCAACGAAATATTTCGCAAATAGTTGGCCAAGACCTCTACCTCCTTTTTCCACTTTTGTTTGGGGTTCTCCTTCAAAAGCCAAATATCAAGAAAGGGATCATTTCTTCCATGTGGGCCACACGCCCTGCAAGCCTGCGAGTTTGGAGGGTGCTTCTTTGAGGTGGGGATTGCATTTGGGACGTCAGACATGTCTATGTTGCAGGTGCACTCAACCACACAAGGCCCGTGTTAGTTTGTTGAGTGGTTCGCCTCTTCAGACCCGGCTCCTCGGCAAGAGATTTCGACTCGTTGGGCTTCCAAGGGCTCCAGGTCTTCGGGGTCGAAGCTACACCGCAGATTCGAAGACGAACCCAGGGTTCACAGAAGTGACGACTCAAATGGGTCCGAGCAAGACCGAACGAACGGTTGTCCAGGCATGAGGAGATGAGACCCTCTTGAAAACTCCCATGCGCAAAACCAAGTGGCCTCAGAACTGATAGAGAGATGCAGAAATGGGGTTGCAGGTCATTTGAGGCATGTCAGCATGTCCCTAAGGCAGCAACCTTGCGCCTGCTGATGCTTCTCACAACAATGATCATGAAATAGACGGATATCCAAGATATCTGCCAATGAAAAATAATGGTAATCAATATAGTGACAATACTTTAGAGCCTCCGGCTCAGTCCGCCGACATTGTCCTCTCCCTTTTCTCCTTCTTCCTCTCTCCCTTGTTTCCCTCGTGTGTTCTGTCGTCTTCTGCTCCCCATCCTCCCCATTTTGCTAAGCCTCTCTCTCCTCAATCTCCCTCTCTCTCTGTTTCTCTCTCTCTCTCTCTCGCTCTATCTCTATCTCATCTCTCTCTCTCTCTCTGTTTCTTTCCGTCTCCTTGTCTCCTTCTTGTCCACGCCCCTCTACAACAAAAAGGAATCCTAATTCTAATTTGTCTACTGGAGGATTTAGTTTTTCTCTTTCTTTCTCGCTCTTTCTCTTTGTTTTTGTTTTTCTCTGTCTGTTTCTCTCTCTTTTTCTTCTCTTTCTTTATTTTTGTATATCTGTTTTGTTCTTTTCTTTTTTTCGCTCTTTTTTTCTCTTTCTTTGTTTGTTTTGTTTTTTGTTTTTTCTCTGATTTTGTTTTTGTTTTGTTTTGTTTTTGTTATTGTTTCGTCTTTGTTTTTATCTCTGTTTTGTCTTTTTTTTCTCTCTTTTTTTTTTGTTTTTTGTGTTGTGTTTTTTCCTTTTTATATAAACATAAAAAACAAAATATAAAACAAACTATAAAACAAATACAATATAAACACTAATTCGCATAATGAAAAATATAAAACAATAACATACTAATTAATATAACGAAAAAATTAGAAATATTATTTTAAAATAATAATATATATATATAGAAAATAAAATTTATATATTAAATTAATAATAAAAATATATAAAAATAATAAAAATTATTGCAAAAAATATATTTAATATATTATAAGGAAAAAAAAAGGGAAACCCAATAATAAAATAACAATTTAAGATTTTTTTTTTTTTTTTTTTTTCGTATTATTTTGTTGTTTTATAATGGATGTGTATTTGTTTTTTGTTTTTCGTTAAAAATACGATTTTTTTAGTATTTTTGTATAGAGGATATTTAAAAACATAGAATGTATTTTTAGGTTTTTTGTAATCGGAAAAAGGAAATCTAAATTAATAAATTGCCGATAGGGGAATTCGAATTTGGGATATTTGTTTTGCGATATTGATGTTTTGAAGATTGTATTTAATGGAATATTATTTAAATATGAGATCCTTGCTTTCTCTCTTATGTATTAGATATTGGATGGGGGGAAATTAGGGTGGGGGAGGTATTTTCTTTTTCTTTAGGTATTCGATATGTTGAATAATATCGATGATTTATTATATATATATATTTTAATAGGATGTATGTTTATTATTTTAAAATATATAATTAATATATATATATATATTAAAGATTGGAAATATAAATATATATATATAAGAACTATACTTGTTATATATTTCTGTGTTGATAATAATAATAAAGAGGATATATAATGGAAGGAATATTTATATATAAATTATATTAAGGATATAATGAACTTATAATAAATTGATATTTAATAATAATTGGGGACATTTTGGGATATAATTTATATATTAGAAATATTTTCAATATTCAATATACATATTTTGAAAATTAAATAAATATATATATTTTTTATATTGATATATTATAATTGATAAATTATAATACTATGTTTAAGTAATATTATAAATAAATATTAATAGATTATACATTTCAATATAAATTATATAATTATTTGTGTAAAGATTAAACTATATATATATATTGTATTTATGTATAAATATTATAAATAATAAATTTTAATTAATATAATTTTCAAATTTAAATATATAATATTAAATTATAGTTTGTTTTGTTTCTTTTTCCCGAATACGTAATAAAAAGGTTCACATTCAGAGGTCGGGGATTCAGGGGTTTAAATATAACTAGGAATCATTAAATTTACGTTCCCAAATATTCGTATATATCCGTAAATGTCGCGTTCGCAATTTCAATGGGGAAAATGAAAAATATATCATTTAGATAATTTGAAGTGCCCCTATGCGAGAATCGTAGCTGAGCTTCTGAAAAGGAGATGCGTATGGGGAAGCATGAATTTCCAGATGGCACTATTTCCAGGCAGATCGGAATCCTTAAAAAATTCCTTTCGCAAATATTTAAGAGTTTCCTCATCATTCATAACGCATTACGAATATATGCAACACGGAGATATCGAAATTGTGCGCACGATTTTCCGAATAAATTGCTTATGGTTTCGTCATCGTTTCGGTTATCGCTTCGAACAGGTATCAATTTGCCAAAATTCGTGGAATAAACAGCATTACATAACCACAAAACCCGATCTCATATATGCTGGACGCATCAGGAGACACAAATATAATAAGTGGAATTCTAAGTCATACCAAAATTTGCCAAATGCGAGACGTTCCAAGCATCGTACCACATAATAATAATATATTTTATTATTTTTAAGAGTTCCCTATATCATTCTGCAAGATTTTAATAAATTTCATAACAAGAAATACGACAAAAAATATAATAAGAATCATAATATAAAAAATACATATAACAAAAATAATCTCCAAAAAATATATAATAAAAAATATTACTAAATAAAAAATAAAATAATAAATCTACAACAAAAATCATAAACAAAAAATAAAATCAACATTATTATTAAAAAACATACCAAAATATATCTAATTTCGTAACGATAAATATAACAAACACCATTATTATACAAAATTTAATTAAAAAACAAAACAACAAAAATATATAATAAAACACATTATTATAAAAAAAATACCAAAAAATATAATATAAAAATATATTATTAATATTTTATTTATATTTCTAATTATGTAAATATTCCACCTAACAAAATTAAACCAAAAAACATAAAATAATATCAAAACACACAACAAAATATATAATAACAAAAATTAAGAAAAAAAAAATCTAACCCAAAATAACCAAAAATATAATTATAAAAACATCATTAAAAACGCAACACAACGTATTTATATTCGAATTCGTAATTTCTATCAAATTTCTTTTTATTCTCAATATATTTCTAGATATATATATATATATATATATTATATTCATAATATATATTTTTTTTATATAAAATAATATATAAATGTCAATTAATTATATTTAATTCAATTATAATTCTATAATATTAAATTGACTCATAATTAGAATATTAAAAATACATTTAAAATATTATTAATATCGAACAAATTCATAAGTACATATTCATCAATGCATTGAACAAAAAAAGATACCGGCCGGGAATGTGCAAGTCTAATCCATCCAGCGAATGAAATTCATTTCAATGCCGGCATACGCTCTGGTCTTCCTCGAAGGATCGGAATGGGCCCAGCCAGGTGTGCGCCAAGTCGCACAGCCTCGGCTGATCCCCACCCCCAGATGGCAGGGACACGCACCTCTACACCCATGTCGGGTTTTAAAACGAAACCAAAAAGACAGCCGACGCCATTTTGAAAGTCTAAAAACCACCCCTTGCAACATTGTTCTGCAATTCTCAGCAGTGCTCGGCGATTTGCGACCCAATGACTACAAGGGAACTGCTTGTGTGCTCTCCTCATGTGGCTGAATGCTCAAAACGGCCTGCCTGACGAGCTGCCAAGTTGGGATCCGATCTCGGCATCTCCCACGCAGCTGCTCGCGCCGAGTCACCAGAAGCTCCTCGCCTCCTTGCGGAAACCGAAGGCTGAGGCCGGGAATCGAATGAGCCGAAGGCTTCCCCGATTATCGAGATTGAGTGAACCAAAGGGTCCTAAAATCAATTGAAATTCACATCTATAGTTTTGTTGTCATGTTCTGCCTCCCAGGCAATTTCAAACCGAAGGCTTCCCGTGTTGTCATGAAAGGGCTCCCCGATCAATCGAAATTCCCATCTGTAGTTTCAGTGCTCCCTCGTGCAGGGGAACAGGACATGGGTTTAATTAACCACAAACTAAATGGATGGAATCCTGAAAACCACCTATCTTGATCCATTTCTTCAAAATGGGTCTTACCTTTGGATCCTTTTAAAACCATCCAAAAAGGGGTAGGTACCCTCAAAAACTGACACCTCAATACAGTTGGAACCCTTGAACCCACCTGTTTGGGATGCATTCTCCTTCCGACTTCCAGGCTTTCTTTGGTTTCTTGCCATGATGCGGCGTACCGTTCTGAGACAAGCCCATGTGTCTCCTTTTGTGTTGCGACGAATGGGCGGTGCCCACAGAAATCTGCTGCTGACGCCGTCCCTTCAATCCAACCCAAAAACAAATGACACACCCAGCGTGCGTTCCCAATAGGATTTGAGGCCCAGATTGAAGAACATATTTTTCTAGGGGCACCTTCCCCATTCTTTCCAGGGATCCTTCTTTTCAGAAAACCATCAAAAACCGGTTTTGGAAAAGAACAAAAGAATAAATGTTGAAAAGAATGGGGCATCAACCCCTAGAATTCTGATGAGAGGTGGCCCTGGGGCCGTTTGCCAGGTGAACTCTAGTGAAATCCCAACAAGCCCGGATCATTTTTGCCGTTTCGGATCGCTGGCGGGCGGTATATGGTGCTCATGCCAGCTTGTGGACCACGAGAACAAACAAACAAGCAAACAAGCAAAAAAAGACATACACTCACACACACAGACACAAACAGCATTGTCGGAGACTCGCAGTCTGAGGAACAAGACATCATTCTGTGCACATTGCCCAGATGACCCCAACCCCCCCCCCCCCCCGAAATGGGTGCGGCGTCGCTTTTAGAGGCCACCCACCTGTTGGCTCTAAAAGAAAAAAGCAAAGCCGAAGTCCATGTTGGGGGGGGGGGGTCCCGGCCATTTTGACAGATGCCCAAATGGGCTTGTCTTAAAATAGGGGAACCCCAAACATGACCAGGTTTACTCTTCTTTAGCCTCTAAAGCCATCCAGCAAAGGGGTGCCCTCCCTCCAACAATCCTGGAAGTGCTCACTTACCCCGAAAGGAAAGTAGTCTTCCAAAACCCTGGCAACTTCGATTCATTGATTGGAGAGAGGGTCCCCCAAGAAAAGACGAGCCACCCATCTACCCCGAGGTCTCGACCTGTGTCAGGACCGGCTTCGTTCTCCGGAACGCTCCTCGGCGCACCCGGGCGTACAAGGTGCCGGTCTCGGACTCGGACCGAAGGCGCTGCCAAAGGCCCACCGCCGGCGCACTGAACACCTCACACGCCAACGCGTCGCAAGTGATAGCTGTGGCATTTGTTTTGTTCTTTTTGATGAAGTTGTTTGTCTGGCTCTTCGGTTTCCGAATCATGTCCCTCCTTTAGTTGCCTTGAGTTGGCTGGCTTTCACTCATTTTCTTATGGTTGTCTTTGTTGCTTAAACATGTGTTCCGTGTGCTCTGATTGCTTTTGGCAATTCTGGCGCATTCTTACGTCTCTCTTCCCTTCCTTTTTGGGGACAAACAAAGATGGTCATGGTTTGGGGACCAGGCAGTTTGACGTTTGAGGGGCCAAACGTAAAGAAATTCCTGGAAATCCCGCTTCATGAGAGGTGGATTGATGAGGAGGGCGTCGTATGGTGACATGATTGAATGCGAGAGGGTGCCCACTTTGCCCCACTTTTACTTCCCCGGGCCAATTCGGTGACATAACCAGTGGCCTGGTTGTGGGCAGTGGAAACCATCTTGCCTCATTACAGCGTGTCCTAGATGAGATTTTTCTGGTGCAAATCTGCGTCTCATCCGTGCCACGGATGTTATTCGGGGACCCTTTGCTGCACATCAGAGCGGGGTGGGGTATGGGGTGGGGTATGGGGTGGGGTGGGGTGGGGTGGGGTGTCGAGTCATGTCTAACCACTTGAGCTTGATGGCTCCCTAGTTCAGGTCATTTGGGTTAGGCATTAGGGGTGTTATTTTTTGGGTGGCGGTCCTTTTGGTTTTCCTTTCAAACCACCAAAAAATGAAAAAGACACACCCATAGGAGCACAAACCTAAAATGCTAGACGGTTTGCTCGGCTCAATGTTGGTGCGACCCGTTCTTTTAACCTGCCCAACGCACGGGGTGTGAAACCAGCCAATTTCTGACTTCCCCCTTTTCCACAGGAAGCTCCTTGCATGCACAATCCACGTAGTAAGTAGGTTATATCACAATGATTGCAAGTCGATGTTTTATGGACCATAGGGAAGGCCACCGGATTTTTGCCCCCCCCCCCGCATGTTTGTTTTCAAACGTCGCCTTTTTGGCCCAAATGTAGTGGGACAATGGAGCTTGGGGGACGAATTCAACCCTGGTTGTACAACCTACTCAGTGGATGGAACATCCAGGCCCAACCCATTGTTCCAACCATGTTTTCAGCACCCCTTCCTCAGCCAATCTCCTTTTGTTGGTCCCGCCCCAAAAAAAACACAAAAAACAACAAGCACCAGATTTAGCCAATCTCCTTTTTGTTCCCCCCGCCCCCCGCCCCCCCAAAAACAAACACATTAGCCAATATCCTTTTTGCCCCCCCCCCCCCCCCTGCAAAAAAACATAAAATCATATACACACACACACACAAGTCACCAGATTCACCCGTCCGGTGGCTCTGGGGTATTTAAACCAATTCTGATGTCATCCCTCTGAGAGGAAGACCCGGAAGTTCGACTCCGGGCGCTGCCAGGCGGGCGGGCAAATCCATAAAGCCTGGCTTGTGGCTTGCGCCAATTTCTAGCCTCCCCTCTAGTTGGCAAAAAGTTCAAGTCCCAACATCCAAGCAAAATGCACCAAAGTTAGATTGGTTTTTTGGGGGTTTGAGATGCTGGTTCTTGTTGACAACGGAGGGTGCTACCCTCTCATGTCCAAACCACCAAACCAAACTACAAAAAAGAAAAGGACACCCCCCCCTCCGTTTCCATTCTGCTCAGACACGGGTATCTCAGCAAGAAAAGAAGAAGAAGAAAACACATATACATGCAGCCCTGTAGAAATCTCGTTTTGTGGTTTCTGAAGAGAACTCCCGGGAACGCCTATCCTGGGCTCCCAAAAAAGTTATCCTTGGTTCATCACTCAGGAAGCTGACCTGAAGCCGGAAGTGATGTCTTAACGGTAGCCCGGCGCCTTGCTGTTTCCTCGTGTGCTGCGAGACAGGAAGATCGGAACTCACCGGAAATGATCGCGAGAGCCCCCCCCCCCAAAGAAAAAAATGGCGCGCGTTTTCAAGGGTTTGGCTGTCTAAATTATTCCCTTCAAATATCCTCTTTGGGGTTACCCTGGAAATCTTGTGGGACCTTCGGGATCGCGCGTCTCGGTATTTCCCCGAGGGCTTGAAGCATCCATCGCCGTTTTCTCGGCCCAATGGAACGAGCCCTGAGGTTTAGACGGGAAATACGCGAGGGAAGCCAGCAATCTGAAGATCCAATCCACAAGCGAACATGATCGCAGCTCAGGCTCGGTTCGTGTTCAGACAGCTAGATTTCCTGAAGCAAAGTTGGCCAATCTGGTGGTCTCCCCATTGAAACGATCCATCGATCCACTTTAGCTTCAAAAGGCACATGGCTCGGAACCCGCTGTGAGATCCAGATGCCCGGCCATGGGGAAGAAGAATTTGAGGCATCGGCATCCTTTTTGTTGGGGTTGAGGTCCCTTCCGCCCCCCCAAAAAAAGGAACAAGAGATCCCTTCCCACCCCCCCCCTCCCCCCCCCCAACAAAAACAAAAACAAAAACGCGGGTAAAAATGGGGGGGCGGACTCCATGCGAGTCAGAGACCTCAGATCATCACTTGGTTGACGTTGGAAGGGGAGCAAACATTCTCAAATTCTAGCAGTTAAGTGGATTTGGATTTCTATTACTAAACCACAATAATATCAAACATGTAAAAACATGTCAATCCCAACGACAACCATGATCAGACGCCCAGATCCCACCTGCTCCAGCCCTGCGGCTCTGAAGTACTCGCTGGTCTGGGGCGTGTAGAGCTGAGACAAGTCCACCTGTCGAAACCGATCTCCAGCTGCCAGCTGGCCGGTGCGGGTCTGTGGCTCAAATTACTCGGTCCCCTATGTTTCCCCCCCAAAAAAAGAGAGAGTAAAATTACGAGCTTCCCTATGTTTCCCACAACAACAAAGAAAACAGCTCCCGAAAAGGGATGATTCTCGCCTTCAAGTGCGAAGGTCAAACAGGCGCGCTAGGGTTGGGAAATCTTAAAAAAAACAAAACGTTCTCCGCCCCCTCCCCTCACCTGGTGATGGAAACAACACCGGGCCCTATGCCAGCCTTCAATATCAGCAAAAAGCTGCGCGGGCCATGGCTACGACGCGCCTTAAAACGACTCACTTGTACATAAAAAATGACCTCGGAGTCTTTGCAGTTGTGGGCTTTCCAGGGAAAGATAGTGCTTTGGGCTGAATTGAAAACATCTTAAAAGCCATACCCGCCTTCAAAAAGAGATGAGTACCTCCCCTGAATACGTTCCAAGAAGGCATCACAGCGACCGGAGTAAACTCTTAGCGATCGATCAGCGCCGACAATTTTGCTCTTTGGAGCAGCTTTGAAATGAGGGATTCAGCCGGGGAATCAAGTCTAGGCCCTCCAGTAGGGAGGTTAGACTAAGGGACTAAGGGGGTACCAACTTTTTCCTGTAGTCTCTTTCAGTAGGGGAGCCCTCACCAAAAAAGAAACGGTGAGAGGTCGGGCACCAATTGCTGGGGGACGGCTCTTGCGGAGTTTCCCGGCCTGGTAGTTCAACAAGGCGCTGGAGTTGGTCTCCAAGACCTGCACCACATCCGTCTGGAGCCCCAGCACGTCCGCGCCTTCCGACTTCCGAGTCCAAAGGGTGGTCCCCGTGAGAATGGAGAAAGCGAAAGGGAACAAAAAACAAGACACCGGTTGTTTTTTTTTTTTTTTTGCGGGGGGGGGGGGGGAAACTGGGGTATTGTCTGAAAAAACAACAAACAGGGGTACTGTCTATGCATAGAAATAAATAAATAAATAAATACATATATATATATATATATATGTATATACATATCTGGGAATTTGCTGGTACGGCATTTACAATTTCTTTCAAATCCGCCGTGTTTACTGCCCCAACGCCAAAAACTACAAGAACGCCATTTTTTTTTGCGACGGCCGTTTCGGAGTCGTGAAGTTCGACAGTGCCTTCACAAGGCATTGAAGGACGGCATGAGGCACAAACAGCCCGTCAGGCGAGCACAGGCTACACCTGATATGCCATCCATGACGGACAATAAATGTAAGCATTCACACAGGGATGATGTTTCAATGGCCCTGCCAGGAAGCAAACTGTCGAAGTTATTCAAACTTTGCCCGCCTAGATTTATCCCAAAAAGCCGCAAAGCGCCGCAAATCAGACAAAGACAGCAAACCGTTTGTCTGGATAAACAAACAAGTGTGGCTCGGAAGGGGCATGTGGCCAGCCAAGCTGACATTTAAAGCGATAAAGAGACACCGCCCGCAGCTTGGCATGGGCGGAATGTGGGGGGGGGCGGGCGTGTGTCAACTTCCCTGTGGGTTGGGGAGATGTGCATGGACCTCTTAGAGCTACTGCGTGTCTTGGTGTCCTGGGGCCGCATTTGGTATGACAGAAGGGCTTCAGGGGAATCCATGGTTTATGCATAATAAAAGCACCATTTGGGGCCCCCAACAAGAGTCACACTCATCTCGGGCCTTCAAAAGTCGTGAAAGTCTTCCAGGTCAGGCCCCCACCATTTACAGCGTGGCAAAAAGCTCGACTCTTGGCAAATTCCTTGGAAAATCCGAGTTTCTCGACAAGCGAGCTACGAAGAAACATGAATGTGTGGCGGTATTTTTGAGGGTACCCTTTTGCATCTTGGTTTCAACGGACGCCGAACAAAAACAACACTCTATTTTTGACACACCCAAAATAAATCTAGAAACAACGCCCAAAACCGAATCGGCTTCCAACCCAATGCACAGCGGCCTCAATTGAAATGAATCGAGTCGTGGTTGGATCTCACAGCAAATTCATATGAGTTCGTTCCCTTGGCTTTTAGGCGAGCCAACGGCCGTGCCGAGTGCCTCCAAAACGACCGGAGACTCCAACACGCCCAATCGACCGAGTTCCGATTCGGCCGATTGCAATCGGCCTAGGAAGAAGTGGTTGGGCGCAGCCTCCACCCGGAGGTTGGAGAACATGGCGAAGGCCGGATACGTCCTGGTGCCTGACAGATCCAACCGAAGAAGTCATCCTCACTGCCCTGAACTTTGGGGGACAAGAAGTGAGGATTCCTCACTTCTCCCCCAAAGTTCAGGGAACTGATTAATTCATCTCCCCATGTCCTTTACAAGTCTCAAGAATTTCATGTGATGGCCACCCCCCATAGGCCCCTTTGAAATTCGCTGAGCCTGGAATGCCAGACTGAAACTGCTCCTGCTCAAAATCCCCCCCGCACCCACAAGGCCCCATGGCTGCCTCCCGTCTCCCGCCTAGGTATGGGCCCAATCCCAGCCAGAGCGCAGCTGCAATGACCACTATTGATGCCTCAGCTCGGCTTTTCCTCGCGCTGTTCGCATACGTGTCCTTTCAGGGAAAATAGACATGGCCCTGGTGGATGATTAAACCACCAGGTAAACCAGGGCCATCTATTTTTCTATACCAAAACAACCAAACCGGACAATCAAAAGCGACCAGCTCCATGGTCATGGTCATGCAAATCCAATCTGTGGCGCCCCAAATCTTGGGGTCTCCATCCCGAGTACAACACTTGATTCATCGCGAGCACTCAAGTTTCCACCATGGGCATGGTCGCCGGCTTGCCGGAAACGGGTCAGGTCGGTGACCTCGAGTTTCCCCCATGGCTATTCTTGATCCCAAACATAAGCAAGTGAGCACAAGCCCTATTTCTTCCGCAAGGATATGTGTGACTTTCTCTTGCACAAGGGCTGCCTTTCCATTGGATTGAGATGGGTGCCAACGTGCTCCGACCCCCACAGCCGAAGGAGACAATGGGCGCGGCCCCGTCCCCATCCCGCAAGGCGCTAGGGCCCCGTGCCAGCCCAAAGCTGCCCTGGCCGTGACAACTTGTTGCCCAGCGATTCGACGATCCAAAGAAGTGGCTGGCATCTCGCTCATAGCCATTCTGCGAATGGATCTAGCCTGGCCTCTCCTCAGATCCCCTGCTAAAAGTTGTTCTTTTAGTGGGTTAATTGGAAACCCCCCACTAAACCAACTAAAAACCCCCCAAAAAAATAAAAGATGGCTCGGAACCGCCAAGTAGCAGCAAATCCAACAACTCAAAACGTTTGCATGCTCTTGGAAGCTGAAGGGTTACCAACCGTTTTCAGGGACCAGAAATTTAAGGAACCACCCAAATGTTTTGGGTGATGGGTCAGCATGCTCAGCCAATCATAACACAAGGATCTATTTTTTGTGTCATGGGTAAATCTGTTTTTTGTCCGATAATTTTGCTCTGGTTCCCCTTAAGCGCAACCCCACGAAGGGTACTCGAAAACAATGAGTACCATAAAAAATGGAACACGGAAACGAACCTACGCATTGGGGACACTGGGTAACGGTATCGTGGATCTCCGATGACGGAAAGCGCTTAAGCGGGGGTCGGCTTGGTCGGCCTGATTTGCAGAATTTTGCGCCAAAACAAGACGGCTAACATTTGGGTGTCTTTTCCATCTGTCCGGGAATTGCTCGCTCGCTGCATTTTTGTGCAAAAACCTGCGTTTTACCATGCTTTTGCGAGGTGCTTTCTGCGTCGAGCTGGCTCGTTTTGCGTGCCTTTTTTTGCCTTTTCTGGGCAAAAAAAGACGGCTATATCTCCGCTTCTCCTTGCTTGCTTACTGCTTGCTTACTGCTTGCGGCGCTTCGGGGATGCTGGGGATGCTGGGGGTGCTGCCGGCTCAGCCAGTACGCGAGATGCTGGGGATGCTGATGCTTGGGCTTCATCTTTTGTTCGAGGAGCCTGTGTCGAGGTGCTCCTTTGCGCTGATTTGAGCTGTTTCCTGGCGTGTCCACGGATCCTTTTTTCGTGTGAGCAATGGCTTCAAAAAGACGGCTAAATTTTAGGCGTCTTTTTGGATGTGTTTGGCGCTCGGCATTCACTGGCTGTCGCTTTCGGTCTGCGGGCGCTCGCTTCTTCAGTAGGTAACTTTGGAGTCTGTCGTGCTTTCCATTCGTTACCTACAAACAAGGACTATTGAAAGCACTGGGCGAGGCAATCACCTTTTTGGAACACCCTGAAATGCCCGTACACACTGATTGCATCCGTGCAAGCTCTGTTCGCCGTAGAGAGACCCCCAGTCATTGCTTACATATGCGGGCTATTTTCAGTCGGACAGTTTTCAATTGGGCCTTCCTCTTGGGTTCCATGTCAATTTGTGGGGGAGTTAGCTTGTGGGCATTTGGAGAAAGGCTGCGTTACCCAATAACTAGCTGTTCCATTCTATCCGACTGGGGTCGGGACGAGAAAAAGGGCCGGGCGGTCCGATGATGCTTCCTCGCACATGTTGACCAAAAAAGACACCTATTTTTTGGCCGTTGTTTTTCCCCTCAATTCAGACTTGCGCCAATGGGGACCGGGACAGAGGGAGTGCGCTTTCCGTTGTTTGCCGACCTGGTTTGCAGTCAGAAATGAGTTGGTTGGCCTGAGGGGAAGTGCTCAAACTCTGACCTCCAAACATGGTGCTTAGCCTTGTCAAATGGCGCGTGGTGATTCACGGACCCCCAAAATCAGGGGACGAACCTAGAACAAACCGCATTTGCCCGGTATGGACAATGCGCCTTTGAGACACCAAAGCAGGAATTTCCATGCCGACTAGTTCATCACGTTGGAGGCTCCTTAGGCATCACTCACAGATGTGAGGGTCTCCAAGTAAGAACAGCTGCACCTGTCACCTTTTCGCCAATCGCCACCTTGAGATGGATGCTCAACAAAACATGATGATTTCCCTTTCATCTCCCTTTAAACCAACCCCGCACCCATTATAGGCGCTATTGCGGCTTGCATTTGACGGGAACCAATAGAACAACACGCCCTTTTGGGAGCTTTCGGGAGGGTCCATGGCCCAATTTGGAGACAAACTACTCGAGCCAACCTTGAAAAGAATGGTGCTGAAGGCATTTCGACGCACATGCTGCAACCTGCTTCCGGACTTCCGGAAGGCATCTCCAGACGCACACCTGCAACAAGGGAAACCCAAAATGCAAAAAGTCAAAAAGGCAAGCCTTTGGGCTGGCAATGAGAAAGAAAGCCCGTTAAACCGTGAGCTGCTGGTTGCCATTCTCCGCCTGCACGAAAAAACACACATGTGTGTGTGTGTGTGTGTGGCTTCTATTGGAGGCAAAGTGGCCCCAAAACGGGCTCCCCCCACTTTTCTGGCATGGAGAGGTCCCGCCCCGCGACCAACTTTTGTTGGGCCCCAACGAAGCGAGCGAGCCACACCATCGCCTTGGCGCGTGCTGTGCTCGCCCCCGGGCCAAGCAACGCCAGCAGAAGCAGCAGGGCGGTGACCTGGCGGCTCAGAACCATAGGTCTCTGCGCCCAAAAGCCATCCTTCCATTTGCTGTTGCGCCCGTTGGAAAAAATAAAAACAAATAAAACGTATGCTCAGTAGTGATAGATTCCCTCTAAAACCAGCAAGGGAAAAAATGAAACATGTTCTTAAGCAAATGGATGCATCTCTCACTTGCCCAAAGCACCTGGCCCCTTGGAGGTCCATTTTTAGTAGAGGTTCCTTGTCCTCTGCTTAATTTTTGGGACCTCTACCAAAAATGATTGCCAGAAAGGGAAAACCAAACGGTGAAAAGGTAAATTTGCTTTGAACAACTGAGATCTACCCTCTCAACCCAACAGAGGGTCCCTTGGAAAGGACATTGATCTTCCAGATACCCGCGCGCAGGTGCTATGTTTGGAGGAAGGGACAAGGCTCGAGTTTGACCAATTCGCGGAAACTACATTCCCAGACTTAACCTGATACTTGAGGCCCCTCTGCACTTGTCTTTCGAGCGGCCATGAAGTCATTACTTTTGGGGGTAAAAGTCTAGTGGCTTGTGAAAGTCATGAGCCCCTTTGGACCCATTCGGATGGGTCGAGTCTGGCCGCCAAGTTTGGTTTCTGGGCGGGCCAAGGGCTGATAGGTTGGGCTGAACCCCTCCTGGCAAAAGAAAGAAAGAGTGTATGTCCGGTGATAGATTCCCCAAACCGACAGGGGAAAATAAGACATTGTTCTTAGGCAAATGGAAGGTTGGGTGGTTGTCAAGCTGCTTTTCTGGACTGGTCTAAGGACCTAAGGGTCCTGGCCATACCCTCTGAACTGGGGTGCTACGCAATCAACCAGGGGTTCAGACTCCTGTGAAAAGGTCTTGGCAGGGTTGCAGTCTTGCAGTCCAGTCACTGTGGTGCCCCGGAGGCATCAAGCTGACGTGGCTGACGTATGTCCCCCAAATTGAAGATCTCAGTGTCAGGTGAGAGGGTCGTGCAGAATTGGCATGGAGAAGTGAGAGCATGCCTCCCCTTTTCGCTGCACGGCAAGCCGGCCACTATCAAAGAATGAACTTGCTACGGCCGAGACAAATGACTTCAGCGTTTTTCAAATACACTTCGGCTTGATGTTGGCTTGTAGCCAGAAACCTTATCCCTTCTGAAGCCTCTCCCTTTCTTTGGGAAATGCTCCGTGCTTCCCGCCTACCTAATTTATGCACATTCGATCCACTCGAGCGACAACTCCTTGCGTGGGTCATGGTGCGAAGTGTCAACGAAGAAGGACACTGAAGATGGATGTTGCTGAACGGCGCGTTCAAGAATCTCCGTTACGCAAGGGGCAGGTGTCTCGACAGTGGTTGCCCAACGCGGATTTGATGTAGAAAGTACACAGTCCTCCACGCTCCACTTTGATAACGTGCTCTGACTTGTGACTCATCCCACCAGGAGAAGACCACGCTGACAGTTCCACTTGATGTTGTCGCGACCTTCAGGATTCACAACCCTCTGGTCATGATTCCATTCATGCTGTGGATGGAGGAATCCTGCACCACCTAAGAAACCCTGGAACGATGATTCCCCTGTAAATACCAACAAACCATGTTTCCCCATGGTTTCAAAGTGGTGCAGGATTTTGTCCATCCACAGTAGGAGCCCTTACAATGGTTGTCCGAATTCCGCACGACTACACGAACCACAAGGAAAGGGTGTTTAGACCTCGGCACATGTGCCTTCGCCCATGATTCATCCCCGCGTTTGCTCCGACGATCACTTGGCTTTTGCACCGGGCTGGGCCAACTGTTTCAACATCTTCCGACGTTCGCCCTCGCGACAGGCGCGCAGATTTTATCAACTAGGGTCAATATTCCCACATGGGGTCAGATCTTTGCTGGGTGCTGTGTTGGTGAGACTTTCAGCATGTAGATTTTGGATTTACGCGCAAGGGCGACGTTTTGGAGCGAGACTTCGAGGGGGGGAAGACCTGCAACTCACACTTTAGCATGGCGCGCTGGGCGGCCGCATTGCCGCACGGGACGCAGTCGGGCAAACGTGGGGTTCTCAGCGAACATCTTGAAACAACCAGCCTTTGGGTGTATCTTTCTTCGGGACCTTTCAAAAACTGGTGAGTTTCAAAAAAAGAAAAACAGACCCAACTGGAAACTAGGGTACCCCCCTTTTTTGGTTGGTTTGAAGGAGAAAAACCACAAGCGAAAACAGACACGCCCCTGTGGGTTTCCTTTCAGGGGCCCGCCCGGCCCCGGCCCGGCCCCAAAGCACCAGCACACGCCGGCGTTGTAGAGGTCATAGGGCCTCGTGCCGCAGCGATTGGCTTGAAAATGAATGGCCTGGCATCCGTTTGCTTCAGCCCGTCCGATTTTTTTTTTTTTTTAAAAAAAAAATCCAGTAGTGAAATCGACTCCCTTTGAACCCAACGGGGTTGAAAAATACACAAAGTGTCTTAAGCAGATGGAAGCTAGGGGAGTGTGGTATCTGTTTCAACATGTTCAACCAAATCAGGTGATCAGGCAAATATGTTTCTTGCTCAGCCCTTTGGTTTTATCCATCCCATGCAGGATTGTGTGCATCCACAGTCGAGACGCCATTTGCGTGACTACTCACTTGACCACTTCAAGATGAATTCCCGGGTGCCTTTCAAAGGAATACGGTCCAAATCAGAACCCCCCGCAACGTCAGGTGCCATGTTAATTGGGAGGGTAAATCCGCGTATTTTCCACATAACTCTGCTGCAAGCCCTTCATCCAAGCCAATGCATCAGCCCTCCGCTGCCGGAGCGTTCACCAAACCCCCCCCGTCCTAAGTCGCCAAGCTGGGAAATTAAGCCAGACTACGGTACGTATAGCTGGGCACTAGGAAACCCGCAAGCCAACAAGTGGAACAGAAACAAAGTGGTGAAACAAAGCGACTTTAAGAAAACATGAACAAAGCAAATGTTAGATGCACTTCAGAATTCTTAAGCAATTGCCCTTGAAATATTAGCCCACCTATTGGGAATATCATTCTAAGACAACTCAAAAAGCCCAAAAGGTGATATTAGAATCATGCCAAAAGGGAAGTCTTCCGACCGCTGACCACGTCCTGCCATGCCACGGTTGTGGAAAATGACCCTTTCCATTTCTCTGATGCCAAAATGGTTGTTCCCGCATGACGGGGATTCGCTTGGTATCGCAGAAGCTGGGCCTAAAATTACTCACGTCCCAAGTGCAAGGGCTTTAAGAACAACAAACTTTTGTTTGCTGTTCGCCACAGTGGTTCTTCCAAAACGTATCAGCTTCAAAGCGAACATGTACCTGGGCTGTGATCAGATCCCCTGCTAAAAGTTTGACTTTTAGTGGGTTAAATGGACACCCCCACTAAACCAACTAAAAGCCTAAAGTGCTACGGAACCGGATGGGACCCAGCAAGTTGCCATGGCTAGCGAAAACATGCCCCTCGTTGACGAGTCGAAATGACTTAGGCGTTTCGGCGCCCGTGCGGGTACTCGAAAGGCGGGGCAAAGGTTCCGCCCTTCAGCCAGGAGGACCACGCGCCTCACCGATGGCTTCCGAGATCGCTCGCCGGGGGTTTTTCCCCACGGGAAATGAAACATGTGGGCAACCATAGAACTGGTTGGGGGCGAGAACAGTGTCATGCGGAGAACAGGCACAAGAAAAGCCCCTTTGGGCATTCATTCATGTTTCGGGGGTGGGTGTGTCTGCACAACTAGGTCCTCCAGTAGAGAGGCTAGAATAAGGCTACCAATGTTTTTCAGGACGTCTATTCTTGTAGGGGAATCCCTCCCTCCAAGAAAGGGGTGAGAAAGGGCACTACTGGGGGAGAAAGAAAATGTGGGCAACCGTTTTAAGGGCACTACTTTCGGTGCTTTATTCTTAAGGGGATACCCTAAAAATGAAAACAGGGCACTACTTTGGATGGACGAAATTTGTTCGCACCACTTTTGAAAACATGGGACACCATTTGCTTGTTGGTATTTACAGGGAAATCATCACTGAGGGCTTCTTGGGTGGTGCAGGATTGCGTCCGTCCACAGTAGTGGGTGGGGTTTAAACCTCTGTTTGACCAAGCTCTGGTGGTCTCAAAGGGAACTCGGGATCTTCTTGAGTTTGTAGGGTTGGCCCATCTGCTTTAACCTTAAAAGGGCTCCCGATATTTCCCATTTGGAACATCACCTGCAGGAAAATCACTTGAAATCGGCCAGCCGGTGATGTTCAAAACCACCGCGGTCCTTTCGAGACTACCCCCTCATGTTCAAAACCACCAAAAAGGGAATGTAGGAAACCCAGTGTTTGGGTTTCTTTATTCAGCACTGTTGACATCGTAACAAGATTAGAACTAGCTGTCCTGCATATTCAATACTTAAATCAGCACTGGGCCTGGGAAACCGAGTTCTTCCCTACACCAAGCTAAACCGGTCGGTGCAGAGGGGCTCTCCCTAAACACTCGAAAGGCATCCCAAACAACCAAACCGCCGAACCGCCAACACTTGGCAGTGGCTCGGAAAAAAGGAATCCCCAAAATGGCCCCTTGTTGCCCTCCCTCCAATTAACATGGAGCCTGACAGGGGGTCCTGGTTTGGACAATTTTCCTTTTAAAGGGACCGTCCATGTCAATTGGTGGGTGAATGGAAACGCAGACTAGAATCTGTAACCCTTTGTGGTTTGAAATTTAAACCGGTAGACCGATGGACACCCACTAGACAATTTTCCGGAAAGAATGTGGATCATAGGGGTCCTTTTGGGGCAAATAGATGGGTTTCCCTGGTAGATGATTAAACCACCAGCTAAACCAGGAATCGCCATGCTATTTTTCAACCAACACCACCAAACATGAGACAATTTTCTGGAAAGAATGTGGATCCGCGTTTTTTGTGGCACCGTTGGCTTCCTGTGAGCTCCATTTTGAGCCCCACCCGTCGCCTGAGACATTCGCAGCGGCGCAGAGAGACAAGGAGAGGCCCGGCAGCATCAGCCTGAGCTCGCGAGCCAGGACATCAGGTCTAACTGGGCCTGTCTTTGAGGGTACCCCCTTTGTTGTGCTGTTTAAAGGAACACCAAACGGACAAAAGAAGAAGAAACAAACAAAAAAAAAAGCACAAATAGCTACTCGTTCGCAAAAGATCATGGCTCAATTTGGTGATACAGTACCCAGTCCCATTTTATTGGTTGGGCAGCATTCCGACAACGATCGGATATCAGGTAGAAGCAAATCGATGGCACTAGGGGCCAGGTAGAATCCTCGCACCTTTTTGCTGGTTTAACTTACGTAAAGGGAACACCTCCCAGAACACAAAAAGGGCACCACTGGAGGTCTGGTTCATCCCTGCAAATTTCTCGTTCCTGGTGTTCAGTGCGATGGTCTCCTTCATTGATAGTTTTCAAATCAATCAGCGGCTGCTCTACTCAGCGGAAAGAAACGGAGTCACTCGAACATGGCTCCTGTGAGAACTTGGCTCTGTAGCTGACTGACTCAGTCTCTGATGCAATTATAAGATAAAGATAATAATATACAAATTAATATAAAAACAAAAAGAAAACGTAAAGTAAAAGAAGATGAAAAGTGTCCATCCACTCGCTTCCCTCGTTCAAGCTGTCGAATCGCCCTTCTGGTTGGCTTTGCACAAGGGTCCCCCAAACCTTCCACCCAAGGGAAACTCACCTATGGCCCAAAAAGGTGATGTTACCACCAAAAGGGACATATGGGGACCGTAGCTTCATTGTCAACCCGATTTCTCGTGGTTTGCCCCAATTGTCCTCATCTTGCGCATGCCGCACTGCTTGGTCGTTGCCCCCCCAAACAGTTTGACTGCTTGCCTGTTTACTGGAGAAACGCACACACACACACACACAAACACACACAGACACACACACACAGACACACACAGACACACACAGACACACACAGACACACACAGACACACACAGACACACACAGACACACACAGACACACACAGACACACACAGACACACACAGACACACACAGACACACACAGACACACACAGACACACACAGACACACACAGACACACACAGACACACACAGACACACACAGACACACACAGACACACACAGACACACACACACAGACACACACACACACACACACACACAGACACACAGACACACACAGACACACACAGACACACACAGACACACACAGACACACACAGACACACACAGACACACACAGACACACACAGACACACACAGACACACACAGACACACACAGACACACACAGACACACACAGACACACACAGACACACACAGACACACACAGACACACACAGACACACACAGACACACACACACACACACACACACACACACACACACACACACACACACACACACACACACACACACACACAACACAAACACAAACACAAACACACACACACACAACACAACACAAACACACACAAACACAAACACAAACACAAACACAAACACAAACACAAACACACAACACAAACACAAACACACAACACAAACACAAACACAAACACAAACACAAACACAAACACAAACACAAACACAAACAAACACAAACACAAACACAAACACAAACACAAACACAAACACAAACACAAACACAAACACAAACACAAACACAAACACAAACACAAACACAAACACAAACACAAACACAAACACAAACACAAACACAAACACAAACACAAACACAAACACAAACACAAACACAAACACAAACACAAACACAAACACAAACACAAACACAAACACAAACACAAACACAAACACAAACACAAACACAAACACAAACACAAACACAAACACAAACACAAACACAAACACAAACACAAACACAAACACAAACACAAACACAAACACAAACACAAACACACACACACACACACACACACACACACACACACACACTGTCCCGAGTTTATAAGAGTTAAAGATCCAACCGATCAGCTTGTTGCGCACTAGCCGTCATATTCCTCGTCCACCTTCCGCGCTTGGGGTTGAATTTGAATTTACGGTCTCGTCTCGCATTTGCTTCCATCCAGGTCCTGTCCCTTCTTGTTCTGTCGTGACTTGTTTGCTTTTGTTGTGTGTGCCGTTCCTCGCCCACTCAGACTGGGTGGGCATTCTGCCACCTGGTTCTTAGCAGGGAATGAAACAATGCAACTACAGAAGCGACGGTTGTCCCAGCGCGGATCAGTGTGATGGCCAAACTGGTTCAAATATTCCACAGAGAACAAGCAAGTTGGCTGGAGACAATTTCCTGGCCAACAAGGGGTTTCTTCAATTCTCCAACGAGAAGGTGGACCGCATTGTCTGAGCAGCGGGGTCAGGTTGTGTTTATCTCCAATAGGGAAGTTGCGGAGTCCCTTCAAAACAAACACAGTGAGGATTCTTCTTCAAGCGCGCACATATACACGTACGAAACAGGAACAACGCCTTGGCCGATTGTGGCTTTGGGCGAAAGAACCTTGGCACTTAATCCAAGTCCCCAGTCCAGTGACCCGTCAAAAAAGGACTGTTTCTAGGGTTGACCATGTTTGAAGGGGCACCCAACAAGGAAGACAGGATGCCACTCGAACAACTGATCCAAAACCTGGTACTAAAGAGTCGTCTACCCAAAAGCATGTCGCGAAGAAGGGCTTCTGGCCGCACCTGCTTGCAGGGTGTTGATCCCCCTTTTCAATCCTCCCCGGGTTTTGCGGACGTGTCTCAACATGTCTCACCTGGCGCCTCTCTTTGCCGCTCAGCGGCCAAAAAGCTTGCGCCAGCCCGGAGGGGCAGATCGCGGCAAGGCCGGCTACAGCATCAGGCCTCTCGGGGGAGACTGGCGACCCAGGAAAAGGAAAAAGCAAATGGAACCACTTCAGGCAGCCTTACCTCCCAGTGGATTGCCCCGAAAAAGCCCCCAACATGTGTGTTTGCCACTAAAATGTTGCATTTCCCCCAAGAATTAGACCAAGTCCAGACACGAAATCCGCGAGTGGCTTTCCACTAGTCCAGGCTGAATTCTCGTCTTCAAGGGCCGCGACCTCAAACTCAAACTGGGCCCGCAGCATCAATAGCCTGGCGCAAAGGCGAATTCACGTCGACTTGCCGAGCCTGAGCTCCCGGTGGACCGTTCTCTGTTTAAGGCCCAGGGTGCCTCCCCATGAAACAGGGTCATTTGTTTCTCGTCCCAAAGCCCGTCGAGTTGTTTTCCCCTTTTTGGGGTCCCCAGTTGGAAGATTGAGGGATCGTCAAGCCCAGTTGACGCGGCAACACAGTCAAATGGCTGAACTGTCGAGGCTGAGCTCCAATCCTTCCTCAATCCTTCCAGATGGATTACTCTGTGGTTCTCCTCTGCTCAGCTTGTGTAGAATATCCGGCCGATGCAACGGGAACATCAGAATTTGGGTCCCGAAATGGTGGACATCTGGACAGAACTTGGTGGGTCCCGATTCATGTCCGCCACCTTGATTTGAGGTGGCAACTCGTATAATTCATAGCCAAGGCCCCTATGAACATGATGTCGGAGCCGGGGTGGTGCTCCTTTTTCCCCCAAAGTGGAACTGGGTTGAGGCAAAAAGTGCAACCCTGGTAGGATGCCTTTCTGGAAATCATCGCACCAATTGCCGGAGGTTTGACCATGGAGGAAAGAGGGTATTGGATGGTCTTGTCGTCCTGGTTGCCTCTGGCGCACGCGGTTGCTTCAATGCGTTTTTCCTTTGACTGGATGCTTTGATGATGCAATTGAAGGGACCCCTTCAAAGAGGGGGTGGAACTTTGTTCGGGCCATGTTCTCAATCTGCTTTCTTTCTTCTTCTTTTTTCCGCAGCTCAGTGGCAATGGGAAAGAGGGCACCCCTTTTGGGTAGTTGACTTAAAATAAAAGGGCATCCCCCTCTCCAAAGCACAGGAACAAACGTGCTTTTCTGGAGGTCTGGGTTGTACCATTCATTCCCATAACCTCATCACCTTGCAGGGAATCCCATTGGTATTCAGAGCATGGGTCCCTAAATTCACCACGCGGAACATGGGTGTGGCTCACAATCAAAAAAGAGGGGGTTACGCAGGTGTTGGTCCATGTTTCCACTTACTAGGGTTCCATCTTGGTACCGTTTTTTTCAGCCACAGCCACATCACCACAAAGCGAACTCTTTGGGACCAGTGTGCTGGTCCAAATGCGCAAGGAGAAATGAAGGGCGCCCTGCAAAAAAAGTGGCCCCAAGCTTCCACCACTGGCAAACCCCACGGGCAGAAATCGGATTACCCATGCCAGGCGGGCGGGTAGAGGGCCAAACAGCTGGCGCTGAAGGGGTAGAAGGAGGCAGGGGGCAAGGGCCTCGGACGAGTTTTCCCGACCTCCGCCGATCGAAAACCGGCTCCAACGTGACGGCCCCCTTTTCTTGGTTGCTGTGACGACCCCCCTGCGAAAAGCTCCTCACTTTTTGGGGGGTTTAGTGGAAAACCCAACTTGATTTCCCCCAAAAAGTTGTAGTCTAAAGATCCGTTACCCAATTTCAGCCGAAGTGGGACCCCCTTTTCCTTCGTTTGAGGAGACCCCAGAAACGGGTGCACCACCAGTCCAAGGCCAAACCACATGGAAAAAGCAGGTCTGCACAGGACCGGCGTGGCTTTCAGGTGCGCATGGGGGAACACCTGGGTATGTGCCCAAACTCACGAAATTTGCAGGGAGCTGCAGGGTTTAGTCCTTGCTTCCATTGACCGATCGGATGCCATTTTGGGGTAACCCTATTTTTGACCCGCAGCCACATGAGAAAATCCGGATCCAACAGTGCGTGCCAAACAGGGGGCACGCTGGATAAGCTTCTGCTATGGGTCCAAATCGGTCGGTGGTGGTTGACAGTACCCTTGTCAGGTTGGCTTAAACAGAATTCAACAGGAAAATGGTCCAATTGTTTGATACATACCCAGATTGTCCAAATCGTGTGGTGGACTTTACAAAATAATTCAGACAGGCTCGGGTTTCCGAATTGTTCTGAATTCGTGGGAATCCCCACCTTCCCAAGCTTGCTGTGATGTCAACGGAGCTTGTGCTCACTAGAGAACACCCTGGTCCAGACATGTTTTCGCTATTGGAGTTCGTGGGCTTTAAACTTTTGGGGAAGACCATTTTGGTGGTGTGTGGCAAATCATCAGCATGGAGTTCTTGTTCGCCCATCCACTCAGGAAGTGAGATTTTGGTCTATGCCCTTGCAACCAGCAAGCTTTTCTTTGCAGGTCGAAGTCTGGCCACACGGATCCTCTTCGGGTTGGATTCCCACATTCCCGAATGAGCAAGCATGAACTCCGAGGATCTAAAGGCATCCATGGGGCCTTGAGGGCTTGATACAAGGGGTTAGATACTTGCAATGGGTGGTGGGGTACTAGTAAGGTACTAAGTATTCATTTTGCTTTATTCATAACATATAAATGGAACTTCATGATCATAACAGCGTAATGGTTCTAATTGTTAAACCCTAAGACTAAGAATTACCCACATTTTGACAGCTGAGCGTCCTGCAAAGCAAGCATTAGGTGGAAGATGGCACCTGGTCGCTTGCCAGTCGAAACTGAAACGGTCGGTCGGTTTTCATGAGTCTCTAAGTCGAGATGAAACCAACGGGCTCACTTGCGATCGAGTGGGTTCGCCAAACTGTTTGGTTGCCCTAAACTGGTCCAAACCCAAAAAGTGACAAAAGTCCAGGCACTCAGGATTTGAGCTACTGGGAACTTGGGCCTTTCACCCAACTTCTTTCACCCAATGGCCGAAAAGTGGGGGGGAATCATTCACTTTCAAAATGCGCCAAGTCGGTAGGCCAAGTCGGTAGGCGCAAAGTTCAACAGGTTGGATGTCAGGCAGGCCCCAGAAACGACTCTTGGTGGACAGGAGAGGTCTTTCAAGCTTCTTTCGTTCAAAAAGAAAACCTGACTATGATTGGACTGGAGTTAGGCCCCGTCATAAGTACAAACAGTAATCTCTGAAATTTGCTAATTTCTCTACTTCTAGTCGAAAGGTGACATGCTTCCTCCACTGCAAGCAAGCTCCCTGCCTCTCTGGTCTTTTGCCCCATCCAGCCGGTGGGCGATTTCCAACACATCGGTTTCCATTGCCAAATGAGGGCTGTATGTCCCTTTTCCTCAGTGTATGGCAGCTGCGCCACATCCGCGTCATTTTGCTCCGTGTCTGACTCAGAGCCTCGGACATCCACTCGCCCTGGCGCCGATGTCCCACCTCCTCGTCATCCTCTTCACCAGTTGCAGTAGGTGAGGTGGGAGGCATGCGGGGTGTGCAGTTGTCAAATCTGCAAGGCGGGGTGGCACCTTCTTGCTTGGCTGGTTTGACTTGGTTTGCAGTTTACCCCCAAGACTCCTAAAGCCCTGGTTGATTTCTGGGGCTTCAAATTTAGCAGAAGGTATCCCGGAAGTGGGCTTCCTTCACTTTTTTGGGGCACCTCTCCGAATTCAACAACTTTGATTTTGGAGAGGCACGTATCCGACATACAGGTGCCAACTTTCGCCCTCGGGCTCTAGACCAGGGTATGAAAAAACCGCTGGAAAACCACAAAAAATGGACCAATAGATGCTCCAGATTTGAGAGGTTTGAATAAGGCTCCCCACGTTTTTTTTCTGTTTTGTCTATTTTGGTGGAACCCTCCCTCAAACAAGAAACGGTTTTCAGGGCACCAATTGCTGGGGGACCTAGAGGAGCACCCGCAAAAGGCACCCCCGAACGGTGAAGGCCACTGGTCTCTTCGAAGCGCGCCGGAGGCTCCCAGCACGACGCCAAAGCGAGCGCACGCTCCTGGCAAGACTCGTGGCGTGGGTCAACTTTGACCGGGGGGGGGGGGGAATTGGTGGCTGTCCTTTTGGCCTTTTGGTCTTTCAAAAAACCTTCCCAAAAAAATGGGGCACCACCTGGCACAACAGGATTCAACAAGGCAAGCCCTGCGCAACAAGCTTTAAGCTTTTTGCTTAGTGACTGAAACTTGAAAGCGCTCGTTCAACACCGAATTGTTTTTATTGGGCTCCGCGGTCCCCCACATGTTCGATCACAGCTTGGGCGTCCTTTTTTTTGGGATTCCTGCCTTGGGCCGGAAGCCTAGGCTTCGGATTCGCCAAAGCTCCCTCTGGACCAATCACCTTTGGCTTCAAACCGGGCACCCGAAACGGAGCAAGCACCCGAAACGCAGCGAATTCTGCAAGCAAACCCCTGGTCAACCCCCGACTTGAATTGTCTTTTGACCAACATTTACCTTTTCGTATATTTTAGGAGCCCAAGAAATGGGTCGGGGCCCAAACGCGCGGGTCCCTAGCTCCGCCTTGCCAAGGTGAGCGGCTGCCTGGCGGCCCTGCGAGCAGCAGCACTGCGGGCAGCAGAACCTGAAGACCACGCCGCTGACGGCGACATCGGCGAATGGCTCCCTGAGAAATGGAGTCTGACCCCGAGAAAACCCCTAAGAAGCCCATAGCCTTCTATTCAACTGGTGGTTTCTTTTATTCGGGGACCAACGCCTGGGTTGATTCAACCGCGTTCCCTACCGATCGCACCAGCGAGGCAGTTGGCAATAAGTTGGGAGATACGGGGGAGGGCGGATGTTCGTTATTTCAGATGATTCAAGTAAACCTCTTTGAATGTGTTCTTGAATTTACTAAAAATAGATATATTAGTTACAAACAACTCGATACAAAATGGTCTTATGTTCATATTCAAGTACCGTTGAATCAAATTGATGCTGGTATGTGCAAGGATTAATATTAATTTGTGCCACTTGCAACCAAATGTTTTTTTTCTTCTTTTTTTCCTTTAAAAAAAAAAATAAAAATATTCAGTTGTTTATGTATAGCTGTAATCGAGGACTCTCTGTAAAGGACACCATGTCCAAATATGACCTGAAAATATGCCCACCACATCACTTCCCTGGCATTCCTGATTGTTTGTCTGGAGGTCATAAGACAACTCTTAAAATAGAACTTTTCTTTGCCTTTACTTTTAATATTCCCAAGGTTGACAAATTGTTCCTCTCTTCATTCTGCTGTTCTTTGTGGGGGTGGGACAGTCTGCATCCAGCCGCAAACTGGCTGAAAACTAAGCCTCCAACTTTTAATCAACACCAAGGCCAGAATCTGACCACACACACACACAAGCTGTACTTCAACACCTGTAACGCCTGCTCGGCCATCTTATCATGTGTCTAAGAAGACGGGGGGGAACATAAACATACAGCTCGTTAGACAACTGAAAACCAATATTGTACCCCAAGTCGGAGTCCTGAGCAAGACCTGACCAAGCCAAAAAATCAGGCAACTCCAGCCCTAAAAATTCTTGGCTTGCTTTCGGTTGCCCTTCAAACATCCACCCCCCACCCCCGCTGGCATGTGAGCTCAATCATATAAAACATATTCAGCATTTCCCAATGTCAAACTCGGCAGGTGGATTCACCTCAGTAGATGGTGAGGCTTACCCATACCATCTGGGCGCTTTCTGTTCTGGGCTCTTCTTTTTACTTTCCCTCTAAACACCACTCCAAGGGTTGCGTCTTATATAAGTATAACCAGTCGTACCAGTATCATTCCTATATTGGGCGTTGCTCACATTCGGGTCTCTCCAGGTTGGCTGTCCAGGCATCGTTGCCGACCAAGCCGCCGCCAGCCTCAAAGACCGCGGCGCCGTGAGGTGCTTGTTGGAGGATTAAGCGACAAAGAGAGCTCCCTGGCGACTCGGAAAACGGGGTACCAGTTTTCAGGGGTCAATGGGATTCCCCTCAGCCTTTTTTGGGAACCCTTCCCCAAAAAAAGAAACAAGGGCACCACTGGGCAACTGGGTCCCTCAAGTTGCAGTATGCTGGAGGGGGGGTTCCATCTCGAAAGGAGCCCCCTTGGGGGCAGGTTCCATGTTTGGAACGTCACCCCACAGAGAAACTTTGTTTTTCACCGGTTTCGCCATTCTGCTTTGAGTTTGCATGGGCGGTCACAATACTTCAGTCAGAGCCAAAAAGTTTATTTTTCGCTCTTTTCTCTTTAGAAAAGACGCGCTCGGGCCAGCCGTGCATCGAATTAACAAAAATGTGTTTTGTGGGCGCAGACGTGGGACCGTCGTAAGGCTTTCCGGGTTAAAGTTGATCGCGAAAAGGCGCCGGAGGTCTCTTCGGGAAGGATCCTTTTAGCTTCGTTTGCGCACTTTTTTTTGCTCAAATGCTTGTTTGCGCGTTTTGTGGTGTCTTTGCGTGCTTTTTTGGAATTTGCGCACTTTTGAGGGATTTGCGCACTTTTCGGATGAAACTCCTCTGGTAGCCAAAGTCGGTACTACTCGGGGAAGCAGTTGATGCTGCGTGCTCGTGCCCGTGCCGGCGCAGCTGTTTGTTGAAGTCCTTGATGTTTACAGCATATCTAGCTCTTCTTTTGGCTCCACCCAAGCCTGTTTTAGGCAGGAAATTTGTAGCACACATGGCACCCGGCACAAGTACCAGCTATCACTACTTGCACTTGACACTTTGTGGCCGTTGATTTAGCAACCCGCTTGGCTCCGTCAATAGCTCCAAGCTCGCAAGTATTGCCTGGGTTTGCACGGATCTGCGGTTTGCTCCAGAACTGTGCTTACGCCACACTTGTTGTTGAGACAACTCGCCTGTAGGTGAAATTAATCGTTTTTAGGCGCCTTGCCAGCCCGCAATTTGCGTGCAAAAAAAAACGGTACTATCGCGCAAACATCCGCAATTGTGCGCAAATACGAAAAGTGTGCACATGCATGCGCGCGTTTTCGACCTTTTACTTAGGCAGAAGATGTCTAAAGCGCCCGAATTGCCAACCAAAAGATCTGTTTTGAGCCACATGTGGTCGTCAGTTGAAGCTGCGCCACTTGGACGAGCTGTTCGGATCTCAATGATCTGAAACTTGTTTCCCTTGACTGTCAAGCTGGCTTGGCAATGTTGAAGGCTATTCCCGACAACGCTCCGCAGGTCAATAGCCAAAATGCCCTTTGGTTCCTTGGATCATCTAGGCGAGTTCTGGCCGAAAAGGCGCATGTATCCTTGCCTAGCTATTTTTGAACAGCTTGACAGGTGCATGTCCAGGCTATACACACCCCGCACCTTTGCCCAAACCAGCAAAAAACGCCGCGCGCAGTTCTTGGAACTTTGTGTGTTTCTTCTTCTTTTCTTTTTTTTTTAATTGAAACGCGCACTTTTCCGTCGTGCGCACTTTTTTTTGCTCAAATGAAGATGCGGGATTCACAGGGAAAAGGGCTGTAATCGCTTTGCTTTGACCTTCAAAAAGCACACCTTTTGTCTGGGCGGGCGTATGCCTTTGGCTACCCTGAGGGACTGAAAAAAGCTTCTCCGAAACTGTCCCACGGTTGTTTGCGGGATGTGAGCTTCCTGACCCGAAGCCTCTGAACCTAAATTACTGGAATACTTCACTTAACGTCGAATAGAGCCCCTTCTGAACACCAGCGAACAAATTTGTATTGTCGCACGGATTCAGCTTGAAATTGCATTTTCTGCCCTATGTGCCCAAGAATATTGGCTCTCCCCCCCGCCCCCCTCCCCCCCTCTACTTTTCATTACAACTTACTGAAGCCAGTAAACGCAACCAGGTCATCTGGCTGCAAGGGATCCATTCGCAGCTGCCCCTACCTTCATCCATATCCCTCTCTGAGTCTTACGCAAATACGACCTGTCCCTTGCCATGGCCTTGCATACCTTGGGAAGCTATGCCCCCCAGGTACACAAGTCAGGGTGACTCCTCACTGGCGCTCAAGGGGAAACCCTTTTAACCCTTGATAAAACAGCAATGCTTCCTTGTCAAAAGCGGACGAGTTCACGAGTTGAAGAAATACACGCCCAAGTTGGGCGGTTGCCCATTGGCTGTTAACTTCAAACAAAAGTACTTGCCTTCCGACACACTTCGGCTCGTCTGCTCAGCCTCGGCTCCCCTCTTTGGGGAAACCACGGCCAAAGTCGAATTCGGCTCTTCGGCTGTAAGCACATCGTTCGGCGTAGTGGGGGCGGATTAAAACCCTAGTGGATTCGTGGGGTGTGCTCCTTTTAGAGGGACTCCTTCACTTTTGCGGGGAAACACCCTCCGAATAATCTTTCCGGCAGTGCCATTTGCAAACCTTTGCAGTCCTTGTCATCTCTGAATCAAAGATGCTTGCTCTTGGGTGGACAACGACTCATGAGCCATCCCGGCACCTAAGCTTAATGAGTTGTTGACCCCTTTGCTACAACTGAAACCTTTGGTGTAATATGAGTGATGCTGTGGATGGACGAAATCCTGCACCAGTTTGAAACCATGGGAAACCATTATTTGTTGATTTACAGGGGAACCGACTCATTCCAGGGTTTCTGAACGCTGGTGCCTAAGAGGATTTCGCAACCATCCACAGGTCCACAGTATGCAAAACATTTTTTCTGAGCTCCGAGAAGTCTGGATATCCCTCAGAAAGTTTGAACAAAAACACCCAAGGCATGCCCAAGGCGCAGAACCCAAGGGCCTGCCCAACCCCGCCCTCGACCGATTCAAAGGACGAGCAGGGCGGCTCGCCTGGGGGCACCAGGGAGGGAACGTACCTACCGGCTGGCGTGAGACGCGAAGCCAAAGGCTGCAACCGCTACGTCCATGAAGAAATAGGAAAACTAGGTCCGGAGATGATAGGTTCCCTTTCAAGCCAAGAGGGGGAAATGGCGCAGGTGTTTAAATGGAAGGTGGGTTCGCCCCATGCAAAAATGACCGCCTGAAAGAAGGTTTAAGGCATTTTAGGCCTTGATGAAGAACTCTGGCAACAAACAGATTGAAGCTTGCCAACTGAACAGACGGAGCTATCGATTCGAGCCAACCAACATGTTCTGCCGTAAAGCGACGGCTTGCCGACGGACTTGTCGGACTTGCCCCTTTTGGGGGGCTTGCGCGGGAGAAAGCCAAAACATCCCGTCAGGGTCCCAGAGCAGGTCGACCCTACCATTCCCACAGCTACCTCCCACTTGTTTGCGGGATCAAGGAATCGACGAAGGAAACGCCCTGTGCAAGGAATCAAATAGCCTTCCGGTGCCCCACTTATACACCACAAGGAAGCTCACTTGGCCCAAAAGGTGCTCCAAAGGGGGGAAATCTGATTTCTGAGAAGCCTGGTTCCGCGATTCTCTCCCTCGCCCTCTGCGCACTGTGCCAACATCGTGGCGCTAACGCTGGCAGCACAAGAGACCTCGTCTGGAATGGCAGGGCTCAGCTCGGTTGGATGGTCCTTCCCACACTACTAGTGGGTCTGCCCACCGGCCTCTTTTTGGAAGACTACTTTCTCGAGGGGCTCTGTGCCCACGCCATGTTAGCAGGGTACCTCTTAAACAAAACGAGAGCACGCACACACACGCACACACGCCCGCCCGCCCGCCCGCCCGCCCACCCGCCCGCCCGCGCCCGCCCGCCCGCCCGCACGCACGCACGCACGCACGCACGCACGCACGTACGCACGCACGCACGCAAATGGAGGCGGAGTCCGTCATTGAGTCATCTGTGATCGTCAATCCGCTGCTGCCACGAGACCTCCTTTCTCGAGCATGCCTCGCATGAAACTGCCGAATTACAGAGGGGTCCCTTCGCATGCAGCGAAAAGTAAGTTCTCCCATGTGCCCGGAACACACAAACACACAAAAGCAGCAGGTTTGAGATTCCGATGGCTCAGTCAAGTGACCCAATCTATTCAAAATGGAGGGTCGGCCACGGTTTTTCACAAACCGCATTGGGAAACCAACGACACAGGGACTAAACTCAGCCGTAACAAGGGAATCTAACGGATTGCCCTTCAGTTTGAGCGGCCTACTTCCGGACCTGGCCATGTAGCTGCAAACAGACAAGCCCCAGTAACTATGAGGCTTAAGCCAGCACGGGACCAAGACTGGCAATGGAGAGCTTGACAAGAAGACAGGGGCAATTTTTAGTTGTCGACCTCAGTGGAAAAAACAAATCCCGGAAGGTCCCTTGGTACCCGTGAGGATGGTTCTGAAGTACCTTGGTAGGTGCTTGTGCCAAGGGGCCGGGCACGACCATAGGGACCGTACGGGAGCATAGGCTATCGGGCAACGTCCAATGGCCACGCACATTTGGGCCTTGAAAGGACGCGCCACCGCAACCATGCACCCGCCATTTTCGGCTTCGCATCGGAATCCATTTGTTGAGGGGGGGTCGAACTCACCTGTACTCCCAAGCTGGAAATAGGGGAACTCCCCCAGACAAGGGCCTTTCAGCATGAGCTCATCTTACCCCCAGTGCGGAACATTACCATGAACCAAATGTCACTGGGAGGCCCCGCGCGGGGATCGAACCAGTCCGAATTCCTCAGCTGCATTTGGGGTCCCCATGTCGACAAAACGCTTCACTTGGGAGCACCCCACCAAAACATGTCGAGAAAACAGCTTGGACATGCTTTTTGTGGATTTCGCCCGGTCTTCCCCCTGCAAACTGGCTTCTAGAAAATAACAAAAAATAGCATAATGAATCCGGGGTCCCCTTGCAATATTCCGGGACTCAACCGGTTTTGTTCCTCGGATCCGTTGACCAGGCGGCGTTGCAGAAGTTGACGACCCTCGCACCTGGACAAGTAAATCCTTAAGGAGTAAAAGGCAAATGAGGGTACCCTCTGAATTGGGCGCATTTGGGTCATACGCTTATGAAGTGTATTGACCACCGGCATAAATCCTCACCCAGGAAATTCAAAAGGCCTTTTCAGAAACGGCCGTTTGTCGAAGAGCCATTTGTGGCAAGAATGCATGATTTCACTGGTTCCGAAGAGCCATTTCTGGATTCCCATGTTGGCCAATAAGTAAGACCACATTTCTGGACTACCATGTTGGCCAATAAGCAAGACCCCCCCCCACACAAAGCTGGCAATCATGTAGGTTTCAAGCTCACATTAGCCAAGTCAGAATTTGACTCCCTGAACTTCCAAATTCCTTTGACTGGCTGTTTGTCGAAGGACCTAAAAAAGAAAAACCCGCGTTTTCACTAGCTTTGGACAACCATTTGTGGAGCTCGATGTTAGCCAATAAGCTACCGCGGCCGTAGTCCAGCCATTACGCAAGCCCGTGTTCAAGCTAGGCTCGTTTGGAATCGCCTTTTGTCTTTGAAAAGGTCGCGCGGTTGAGCTCTGTAGACTTCAGCTCCGCCACTTTAACTTGCATGCCTTTCAGGCTGAGGTGGCATTCGGCGGGATGTCCACGGTTTGTCCACTCCCCTAAATGGATGTTCCACTCCCAGAAATGGCTTTTCCACGCCCACAAATGGCTCTTCCACGCTTTGTCCACGCTTTGTCCACGCTCCAGCTTCTCCGAGACTGCTGTAAGACGCCCATTGCGCCAACACGCACACGTAAGAGAGACAGCGTTAAGCCGACCAAGCTCACGTGACACACAAGGCTCCTGGCTGCCGGGCCATGACAACAGCCATTTCGGAAAATGCCGCTCGACGAATTTTAAACAGACGTTTGTAAGGACCCTAAAATGGTCCAGCGTTTCCTTAGAATGGTCGAGGGTACCTAGGCCTTTTAAGACATGGGCGAGGACGCCCAGGGTTTGTAAAAATGTAGTTTGCCTTGCTGAAAAGCTCTCAGAGCTATTGGCCAAGACCTTCAAAAGGCAACCCCAACCCACTGAAGCACACTGAATCGCAAAGCAATGCCATACCTAAGAGCCATTTTAGAATTGGCCGTTTGATGTTCCTTAATAGGCTGTTGGTGAAGATCCACAAATGGCCGAGCATTTTCTTAAAATGGCCGAGGGGTACTAGGCCATTTCAGAAATGGCCTCCGACGTCCATTTCCACCAGAGGGCCTCCAATTTGTGAAATTCACATCTACATTCCCATGTTTCGCCAGCTGCGACTCAGCAATTGCAATAGTCCTTCTTGCCGGCTCTCAGCAAAAAGTTGAGTTGGAAGGACTCTGAACTGAACCATCCAACTGGCGATGTCCTATTTGAGGATCCCCTTCTGGTTGATTCCCAAACCTCAGAATTGCTTCCCTACTAAAAGCCCGCAAGCCTGCAAGCAGCTTGAAAGCACACCCGTCCAAGTCGCATCTTGTGCAGCGCCGAGATGGCATACAACACCACCTGGCCGAGTGGAAAGAGCCTCACCGAGGGTTTTCCACGGTCACCAAAGCATCGAAACCAGCCACGCAGCAGACGGCAACTTGGGCTCAAGGCTTGCTCGGAGAAAGTCGGTTTGGTGTAACATGGGCAGCTCCAAGAGGGTGTAAGCCAATGAACAACCTTGGAAGTGCACAGGAGGGTTTTGGAAGACTGACATCAAAGCTGACTGGCCCGTTGACAAGTTGAAAGCGACCTGGGTTCCATGGCTAAAATGTTCCTCCGCTGTGTCCATTCAATTAAACCTGGCCGAAACGAAGCGAAGCACGGCGCTGCGATCGATCCGCGCCAGGTACCAGCGCAGGGCGTTGGCCAGGTTCTTCTCAAAGGCACCTGCAAGGTGGGTTCCGCAAAACGGTGTCGATCTGGTTGCCAGCGACAAGCCATGGTTTTATCAGGGTCTCCTTGTTCCTCAATGTGGACCCCGGATTCGCTAACGTGTAGTGGATATGTCGCTAGAACTAGAAAACGTCTTGGATGATGTGGTTTTTTAAGGATCTTCCCTTGTAGGATATGAAACGAGTACAAAAACGGACCAGCAGGGGAAGAACGGGTGAAATTTATTTTGCGCATCCAAACCGTTTTCTAGAAGTGACGCCATGGTGACCATGAAGTGGGCGGCGGGCGGGCGGGGTCAATCTTAGGTTTGTTGACAGTGTCTATGATATCTTGACTTGGTTCTCTTCTTGGTTGGGGTTGCACCCCCATCCCCGACCAGTTGCCATTCACAAACCTGAAACAAGGATCACCGTAGTTGAAGGCCTTCATGGCGTTTGCTCGCTTTATTTGCCCAGGTTCCTGCAATGAGCGGCACAAAAGTGAAACTGTTTGCTGGTCGTAAAAGGGAACACCAAGGGCCAAACTTCTTAGCTATGTCCTGCAATGTACAGCAATTGTACGCTGAAACTCGGCGCTTGCTGCAATCCCTCTCCTGCCCGTAGACGGGCACGCAATTTTGCAATGTGATGCAGCATACAGGAGAGCTCAAGGTGCGCAATGTAGTGTGGCTTAACTTGTTTTCCACCAATGTGATTCAATGTCATGATCAGGTGTGCTGCAATGTTATGAAGGAGACGGAGGAGGCGAAGGAGGCGAAGGAGGAGGCGAAGGAGGATGAGGAGGAGGAGGACAAGAAGAAGAAGAAAAAAGAAAGAAAGGGAAAGTCATCATAATAATGTTTGATTCGGGCACGAGCCTGTGCCCAGGCAATGGGTAAGTTGGGGTAAACAAGCCACAAAAGAAAGGTTCCCCAAAAGCAAACCAATCCCCGGTCCCAAAGATCAGGGTTTCCCACACACCAGAGAACAACAACCAAAGGAAAACAAACCAAACAAGAAAAGGGTTAACCCGCAACCTTGGTCGACAACAGGCCGCACGACTGGTCCCTACCAACCTGGCGGCGGCCCGAGGTCTCTTTCTCCCCCGAGATGCCGTCGGTCGACGCAGGGGTTCGGCGACGCCCATTCGAGGCGCGACGGAACCCAAAACTTGAGCCAAACATCACAGGTCAGTCACTACCGCGACATCCCTGTTGATGAAATGAATCATGGCTAATCACACCCCCCTCACGAGGAACCCGTCATATGACGGGTGGAGCGTGCCATTTACTGATAGGATTTAACTGCTCGCATGCGTCCGCAAACAGCTGGACACTACCGCCGTCAGCGGTGGAGCAAACCCACAAAGGCAGTTGCGCGACATCCCGGGCATTAAATTCCCGCCACCACCCCGAATTAATCGGGGTAACGCTGTCCAACATACCTTGTGGAAAAGTCCACATGACGACACTAGGCCACAACTGTTTGCATCAACATTGCAAGAAGTTTAATTCTTATCAGAAGCCATGAAAAAGAAGATAACGTATGTCCATTTAGCATCCTCGCCTAACGGCAAGAGACACTCCTGACCATGCGTACCTGAAAAATGCTTGAATTCCGCAAACCCGGGAGTAACCCCCCATCAGTTTGCTTTCCCTCTCACTCATACTGCTTCCTGATGAGCGCGACCAGCAGCCCAGCAGCGGTACGGGAGAGACACGACCTCCGCGCCTCAGCGGTCCGGGAGGAACATCACCACCTCCGCACCGCGCCGACCATCGGAGAATGGACGCAAGCCTATCGGCCGCAATCCTCGTGACTCAGCCTATCGGCTATCGTCACGTCTCCTCCGGTCACGTCCGCCCCGCGCGCGGTCCCTATCGCGATCCCTTTCGGATCTTCTGCGATCATCTCGCCTTCGATCTCGCTCCCGATCGAGTGAATCATCATCACGACGATCACGAGCATCATCCCTCCTTCGGTCGCGATCATCCTCGCGCCGCGGACGGTATCTGCGCCTTCTCGACTCTCTGGAACACAGTCCTAACGGACATCCGAGAAGGAGTACGGGAAACATCCGATTCCCTACGCCTCCTCCCAGAGCGAGAGTTCGTCACGATCTGGTTGAGAGCCTCCAGTGCTGACGCGTCCTCACCATTTCTAATGAAATCCCTGACTTGCTTGTTCAGCACTCTGTTGGTGGAGACCGCCAAGATAGCGTCCACCACTGAACTCCCAGGCAGCACCAGGAAGTGACCCTCCACCGGGCTCGCCGCAGTTCGCTCAGCCGACTGCAACCTGATCTCACCGCCTTCAGGCTTCTTTGCCATCGCCTTGGAGGCCGTCAAAGGCGCTACCGCGTCCTTTGCCGAAGATCTGCCAAGCGCGGAGTGAAGATCATCCCCACTAGCTTCCCTTGCTGCCGCTGTCGACGTCATCAGGCCTCGTTGATGCCTCCCGCTTTGTCGACTCCTTCACAGTCTCATCGGGATCCCAACGGGACTTCCTTTCTCTCTTCTGCCCTTCAGCCGACCCCCGACTACCGCCAGGAGCGTCGTCTCCGCCTACCTTCTCCTTCTTGACCTCAACCCTCGGTTCGGCCTGCTTCGTCTCCTTAGCCTCAGCCTTTGGAGCCGGAGCACTCTTCGCCTCAGACACTGAAGCGACCTTCCCTTTTGGCTCGGCCTTTGGAACCGGGGTCATTTTAGCCTTCGCACTCGGCCGGGCTCCTTCAACCGCTATCGCGACCCAAGTCTTCTTCGGCTGAGCCGCTGCTGCATCAACCTCCATCGGAGCTGGTCCAGCATCATCCTTTGCTTTTGCCTTTGGGACAGATGGGCTACCGCCCTTACCAGATCCTTTACCCGGCACTTCACCTGACTTCGGTGGAGGACCGGAAGGACTACCGCCCTTACCGCCCTTTTCTCCCTTCTTCCCTTTTCCTTTTCCGCCCTTGGTGATCGGCTCCTGCTTGGGACCAGGACCCGGCGCAGCATGATGCACCGATTGAAGTCCCTCGACGTCCACGTCCAATGGTTCGGGCTGACGACCATCAAGAACCGTCCTCACCCTTTCGTCACTGACGTAGACGAATGGGTCGCGGAAGGGTGCGGGAGGCTCCGACTGTCCGGCACTGATCGCCTTTTGCACCTTGGCTATCGCCTCCTTCAACCTCTTCTTCTCATCGTACCCAGTCTCCGATACCATGTACTGCCTGAGCTGCGATATCAATGCATGACTTTCCAGGATGTCCACGTCCTTCCGATGGGTCGGATACAATGGGGTCAGATGACCAGCCGCGGAGCCAATCACGTATGCCATCGGAATATAGAAGGACAAGTACGTGTCATGGCGAGCGAACTTCCTAACGGAAGTCGTCATACGCCTACCCCACTGAGCAGCATGCCTCGGGTTAGCCCGGAAGTACTCCGTGACCGACTCAAATCTATCGACTTGGTTGGTCAAAATCGGTGCTTCGCTACCCACTTCTCCACGAACGCATCCGAGGCCGAAATCCCCGACACATAGGAGAATTGGAAGAGCACCTTCGCCAGCTCATCCCACGCCGTATCGACTCCTCCCTTGTCTTCACCAAGATAAGGGGGCAGTCTGATGCCACTCTGCACCGTCATCCTCAGATCAGACGCCATCGAATAGGAAATCAAGTTCCTCTTGATGACTCCGACCACTTCGGAGGGGATCCTCTTGGGCTTGAACTGCCCCATGGTCCTCACCCACTCCGGGACGATGCGGCACCTCTCGAAGCCATTTTCCTCCGCGCTGGGGATAAAGTTCGGGTAAAAGACCGGGAGCGCGCACCCAGGACACAAATGCATCCCATTTGGCGTCATCTCCGCGCACCTCAAACAGAACGTGGTGGTCACATTCAACCTGACCTCTTCCCGCGATCGCCTGTGCTCTCCCCTAACGGGGGTGAAGTCACCATAGTCCCATGCCCGATGGTACACTATCGTGTAATCATCGTACATGTATGCTGCCTTCCAAGCTCCCATGTGGATCTCGTTCCGAACGGCAAGGGTCTTCCTTCTTGTCAAAAACACGGGCCCAACCAAGGACCAGTGCACCCGAAGGTCCACCATTACCACCACGTACCTACCCGAGTAGTTCCGCAGCCTGTCTCTGACGTACCACGAAGGCGATACCTCGGCATCCGGCGCCATGGCTCCCACAAGTGGGATCAGGCCCTCATCCTGCCTACCATCTCCAATGGTCTCGTACACGTCGGGCCTCGTGATCAATATCTCGATCATGGCCTTTCCGTTTCGCCTCACCCTTTGGAGCTGAACCGCCTTCCTAAAGTCCGAGAACTTCATGACGACGTACCCCACCATGGGGAGTTCATTCCAATGCATCTCGTACATCAGAGATCCGCCAGGTGCATCTTCTTGAGTGTACCTTTGCCTAACGGCACTGTAACTCATGTCGCGTCCGATCCGCGTGTGCCTAACGGCCACTAACCTAGTGCTCTCCTTGAGGAGGACACCATTCCCGTCGTACATGACCATGAGCATCGCCTCAACTTGCCCTATCGGGAAAGCTTTGAGCGTCGGAATGAAGAACTTCCACGACATCTCGGCGTTCTCCATGCCCGAGATCTCCTTCAGGAACCAGATGGCCTGGTCACTTTTCACCCAGTTTCCAGCCTCACGCCCGGTCTCCTTCAGCACACGTTCCTCGAATAACTCCGAGACTCTCTTCGAGTTGATGACCAGACCCTCGAAATCGCACGAGAGCAGTCTCATCAACTCCTTAGCCGCCTCCCGCCCTGCAACGGTGCCCGCGGTCTCCTCGTAGTTCGGGAGGTAGTCGCCCAACCTTGTTTTCGAGGGAACCACAATCTGGCATGTAGCGGCCTCATCAGGGATAACCCCAGTTTCCCTCAACTCTGGATTGATTTCCCGCCTATCGGCAAGATAATCCTTCCTCCCATCCAGGACCACAAGATTGTAGGTCATCTTGCTCGCCGCCTCACTAGGTCTGAACCTCCTGCTATCA